TTTAGAAATTAAAATGTTGTCATTTGATACTCACAATGGCAGGTTTATAGCTATCAACACTTATCTAACTGGACTATTTATATCAGCAATAATGCCACTCAAGTTGGACATATTGTTTAGATTAGCATACCAGGCAATTAAAAATAGTGAACCGGGCCAAACCCAAACATCCAAAATTTAGCTCTTTTTTCTAGATGGTCTTAGGGCTGTATTATTGGGTGATAAATGATGTTAAAGCTATTGTTGCTAATCTGATATTCAGTAAGAGTAATCTAAGTCAATACGAATACTACAATTCATAGTTAAAAAACAAAACTTAGTTACTTTATCGTTTTCTAATCATTTATATTTAATAATGGATTCATAGTGTTTTAACAATTACAAAGCTTAGCTTATATTTACGAGCTAATCATGCCCCTAGACCAACAAGCCGTTGATAAACAAGTTTTTTTTAAAATCTTTTTAAAATGATATCCTAGTTTAGAAAGCTAATGGGGGAATATATCCCGTATTTACAGTCTACGTCAAATTCAGTCCGAAATTAATAGCTTATTGAAATATCCACATTGTAATTATCACTGAATGTCAAATATATTTAATCTCAAATGTTAAAGATGTATTATGTGAAATTTAGATAAAGAGCTGGTCGTTCTTGCTATATAATAGTTGAAATATAGAAAAGAGAGAGAGAAATGGGGTTTAACGTCCACTCGACACAAACTAGGTCATTTCGGGACTAACATATGGTTCAATTTTATTTCAATAATTCGCTTGCGCGTAGTGGGAGGAAACCGGAGGACCCGGAGAAAACCCAAGATTGGACAGGCGACCCTACTCCTTGTCACGTACAACCGGGGTTTCGAAACCACGCCATTTGACTCAATGACAGGCCGTGTGATACAGCACGCACGTGCTAACCATTTATATAACATCTGAAGCCAAAATAAAAACCTGTAACTGGGAGATTCAGCTCTACATATTGCATCTTTAATATAAATTACAGATAAATGTTAGGTGCTAAAATCGTGAGATTCAAAATCACTTAATAAGTACTTGAGCGAAACCTGAACGAGTAGTACATACTGGTTTATAGTCCTAGACCTGTAAAGCTTGAAACACTTATCAAGGGTCTGTACAAATTACACATTTTATAAATAATTCCTGACATCGGTAGTGAGGAGAATTGTCTCCCTTTAGTCTTCAGACGACGTACTCATTCAGTTTTACACATTAAGTTTTCTAAATAAAAAAAAATATCTTAATCTAATGGAATGGGAGTAATATTTTGTGTATTGGTTAAATAATAAAACTTTTTCATTGAGCATATTGTATTGCGGAACAGGCCGATGATGGCACCAATTTGGTTCACTGCAATGAAACAAACATGCCCGCGGGTAGGACCGAAATCGTAGCTCAGATAGGCAAGAATGGTGGGAAACGCTTTGGAAAGATAACTCTATTAGTAAGTGCAGGGGGACTGCACCACACAAAATTTACACAAAAACAAATACACGGACAAGACATCATACTCAGAAAAACACAAATGGACAAACAATTCAAAAAAAAAAAAAAAAAGTGAATGGATCGTCTTGCAAACTGAGTCTATAAGTAAAGCCCCAAGTTGGCCATAAACGGTAAAAACGGGCTGCCGTCTACCTCCTTATAGGTCGATTTATTTCGTTGTTATTATCCCCATCTAGGCGGTAATACTATTGGAACGGGTGTATAATCTATGACAATTCAAGACCAGAATGCCGGTGTGCAATTGGCTCAAATGTTTATAATAAACACTGGCTTCAAGTAAATACGATTTCGATATGGCCATTGATGTGCTCTTTAAAGTAGCTACGTCTCTAACTCAATATCACCCAAAGTCTTGGACATTGAAAACTCGAATTATATGTCAATTTAAATCAACATTGATGTTGTGATCTTACCTGAAAAAAAAGGGCTTCTGATATCCAATATTTAAGACAAAATAAACATTTTACCATTGGTAAACGAATCGTGTACCATAATGCGTTTCAACGCCATTTGTAAGAAAAACGAGGCTAGACATATTTCACAAGTCATGTCAAACGGTGACCAGATATTCTTATCTGGAGAGCATGCGCAATAAACACTATCGGTGTAGACTGGAATAACCAGACGCTAAACCTTGCCATTCGATTGAGACTTGGCGTATTTCGGCAAACATAACTGATTGAATGTAAATCGGTTTATATACATTCATATTACATAGTGATATGCGTTGAGACTCATTTGTGTAAAATGTTGGGTCCCAAATATCATCGATTTCTCTCCTTTAAATTGTGTCTCTAATCTTATTTTAAAGTCAAGGAAGTATTATTCCACAATGTATCTTATTTCTATAATACGCCTTCTGTTCTTCCTCAAATCACTATTCTTTAATCCCCACTTTTCTTCCTCGCCTGAAAACTAAGTCAGAAATTATGCTTCCTCACAACAAACTATTAAAATATCCTTCCTCATTCATAGATGAAATATTTTAATTTTTTTTTATAAAATGATGACAATATCCTTCCTTAGCAGCTCTTGTCTACGATATCACCTTAGGTGGAAGTGGACGTAAAACCCCAGAAACGAACGAACGAACTTCCTTAGCAGACACTGACTATGAAGGCCCCTATGATTTGTAGGCCCCTATAGAAGTTAATGTTTAGGGTCCTTGAATTGATAAGCAGAGCGGTCTCTGGATTATAGTCCGTCTTTCAAATATTGTTTGTATGAATAGACGATGGAAGTATAATCATTTATCAACATGATATATCTAATACATACATTATGTAAGAGCTAAATCTGCCTATTGCAGGTCTTTCTTTAGGCCTGAAATATTATCTAAATTATTAATTAGCTCGATGTCATGTTATGTGTCGTATTTTCACTGGATTTGAATCCGATTTGCTGTTCAACGATCATTGATGATTAAATCCAAAAATGGATAATCGAGACTATGTTTTAGCAATGATGATGGAGGCTAGGCCTAAAATTCAAACGCTAATATCTCAGTTCAGAGTGGAGCAAATGTTCAGCTTATTCCTTTTACATTATCTATTTTTTAACTTTTATAAGTAAGAACTGCTAGCTCCTTATCTAATCTTACCTAATGCCTTTTTAAATAAAAAAAATACACAAATACTAGACCATACACCGAATATAGCCAAAATAAAATTTTCAGTGACTTTACACGATGAAGCTTCACTTTACTAAAGCATGTGATCCAGCAAGTTATTCCTTCTAGGTTAGTACTAAATGATAAGGCCAGCTCAATTTTTCGTCATAGGTCACGAGATCTAAACAGGGCTAGCGCTAATCCCAACCCTAACCCCGGACCTAGCCCTAATGCTTACCCTAACCCTAACCTACAATCTCGCCAACAATCACGTGCCCTAACCTTATTTACATCTCAGCGACCTTGACAAAAATTGAGATGGCCTTAACAAATAGATTTCGCCATTCTTTCTGAGCTTTTGTTGGGTTTTTTTAGGAAATATGTTTTACATTGGTTCTGTCATCTGCAATGTGCCACTGGTGTTAAGATTAATAATTGTCAATCTACTTTAAAATTTTAATAAATCCTTTCCAAATTAGCAAAATTGCCAGTCATATGACCGTCAATAACATTTTTCCTTATGCAGTAAAACTACCCTGTGTGTTTGGCCAAGTTTATTTGGTAAAAAATGTCATAAAAAATATCCGTAATACAATAATAGTTACCAATAAAAGAAACTTTATGCAAACGATACTAGAACTCATTTGACATGCATTTCTATGTATATGTTATTGTTCAAATTATGATTATGATTTTTAGGTTGTTGTCTGCCTAAACAAGTGTGATGGGTTAAGTGATAAGCAGCATACCACAACTATCCCCACACACACCCACAGTTTACATGGGCGGATCCAGGAATTTTTGCAGGAGGGGGGGTTGCCAGGCAACAATCTGATTAAAACTCCGTTCCTTTTTCGTTTCCTTTTTATACAGTTCAAAATTTCGTTTTATTTGTCTTTACTACACTAGGATCTGGAAGAGTTGTTATATAAACTGCGTTCTGGATAGCCAATGAAACGGTCTGTTTAGGCGACTTCTTGGCGTGCCATGCACGAAACTGTAGGTAAGGCCCTTTGTATGACCCCTAACGCGACCCCCCACTACAGCTGGTCAGATCTTTATGTAACTGTAGGCCATCGAAAGTATAAAAAAGACGAAATGAAATATAGATCTGTATTTTAATAGATTGGCCAGGCTCCACGAGGTTGGACAGGCGACCCTACTCCTTGTCACGTATAACCATGGGAATCGAAACCACGCCAGTTGACTCAATGACAGACCTTATGATACAGCGCGCACGTGCTAACCATTCGCCCACCCCCACCCCACCCCAAATTTTGATAATGAATTAATAGGATCAGATTGTGATTCAGATTCATTGATGCACAGCATTAATTGTGATATCACGCATGTCTATATCATTATTTCACGCGTTAAATGCCAATTCCATCCTACCATCTGATGATAAAAGGTAAAGCACACGACCGTTACACTTTTCTCATAAAGTGTTGTTTTACAAATTTTTATGTAGCTGAGCAGGGTGATGTTTGGACCCCCCCCCCCCCCCCGCCGCTGGATCCGCCCCTGAGTTTAAACACATCACATATTTAACTGAGGATCACAGTGAGATAAGCCAACTGACAGTAATTGGGCTTCATTCAGGATGACGTCAATAAAATCTACCATAGTTGGTAATGTATCACTGGATGTGGAAATAATGGTCAATGAAACCGACACCGGAAATCTTCGCACGTTGCACGAGAATATAATCTGGTCTATGATTTTATTTGTTGTGATATCCGCAGCTATAATTGGGAACGTTTTTGTTATCATAACCGTGTTCAGATTTTCATACTTAAGGAAAGAAATCTCGAACTTATTTATTGTTAATTTGTCTATCACTGACCTATCAACGTCCATCGTGGTGATGCTGAGTTCCCTTGGAACGTTTATTGATGATGGTTGGCCGTTTGGAATATTTTGGTGTTATTTTGTCTGTGCTGCGAACTACTGTTTGATAATAGTCTCCATGATGACGTTATGTTTCATTAGCATTGATCGTTACATAGCGATAGTTCATTCGTTACGTTACCCGACCAAAATAACCCAAAAACGAGTTCTGTGCATGATCTTTTCCGTATGGTTCCAAGGAATAAGTTTCTCCATTGTTCCTGTGTTGTATTACTGGATTGAGTTTGACTACTGGGAGGTCATCTGTGCCATTAGTTGGTACAAAGAAAGGCAACGGGCTCTTTATTATGTTATTTTTGCTTTTATTTTGTGCTTCCTTCTACCTGGCCTTGTGTTGGCCTATTGTTATTACCACGTGTTAACCATTGCCCAGAAACAGCACCGGAGACTTCAGAAACAGAGGAATAACCTCAATAATTTAAATTTAAATAGCACGTCTTCTCCACCCAAATACAACACAAGTTCCAAAGCTGTCAAAAGTTTACTCGTGGTGGTACTGGCTTATTTTTTGTGCATGACACCATTCAGTTGCACGAAACTTTATAAAGTTAGTGTTGACGAGCAGCAACCATTACCAAATTACATGAACCTAGTAGCTAGTATATTGGCGTTCTGCTCCAGTGCTGTTAATCCTTTCATTTACGGAATATTTAGAAAAGATTTTCGTCGAGCATATAAAAAGATTTTGTGGCAGATACTACGAAGGAATTCCCTTGAAGCAAGTACTCCAAATAATTAAAAAACAAAAATCACCAAATGACATTTCTATTGTTACCTATTATATTATTCAACAACCATTAAAACAAGAGGTTGCCATGCAAGATACGCGCCATATTTTGGAAGAGATGGACAGAGAACAAGCTATTTTTTCGGACAATGTGGGGTCATAATCCAGGATGTCTGACATACCTCAAATACAAAAGAAATGGAGATCTTTGGGATATAAACACATTTTAAGTTTCATCAAAATCTAATAAAAATTGTGACCTCTAGAGGGTCCATAACCTTTGAATTACATGCTTATATTATTTGCGTAAACGGGAGTGGTCTGATTTTCACGAAATTTGAGCGGCCTTTTGGCGGGCAGTTACGGTCCAATTTTCACGAAATTCGATCTTCATCATCATTAGGTTGCAACGGTGATATATTTGAAAGGTTTTTAAAATCGAATAAAAATAGTGACATCTAATTGCGGCTAACTTTAGATTTACGTTAGAAAACTAACGGTTAGAAACCTGACGTAAAATTTACGTTAGATTAACGTTCGATTTGTATGTCATTATTATGTCTGAATTCCAACTATTTATTAATTGTTAGAATGTAGAAACACTGGTATGGTTATTTAATCCACAAGTATTCAAAGTGAAAAAAAAAATGGTTCGAAAACCGTCATAAGATTTACGTTAGACTTGGGTCATTTTCTGACGTAAATGTAACCATATTCTGACGTAAAAGTAACGTAAATTAAACCGTAACATTTTACCAAAATGACGTAAACTTTACGTAAATCTAACGATCAATGTTAACTGGGCATGGTCCACACGCTAAAGACGCGATTTTTCGAACAATCAGGGGCCATAATTCATGGAGATACAATCCGATATGCACGAATATCGAAAGAAACCACTATCCTTGGGATATAAAAATAAATTTTAAGTTTCATCAAAATCGGATAAAAACCATGACCTCTGGGGGTTCCACAACCTTGGTCCGATTTACACGAAATTCGAACTCCACCTTTCTTAGAGTGTAAAATTATGATCTCTATAGGGTCCACAAGCTAAAAATGTGATTTTTTGTACAATCAGGGGCCACAATCCAGGAAGTTACGTTCCGATATGCGCGAATATTGAAAGGAACCAAGATATTTGGGTTATAAACCTATTAGCAATTTTCATTAGGGTGTAACGGTGATATATTTGAACGGTGTTTAAAATCGGATAAAAATTGTGACATCTAGAGGGCCCACAAGCTAAAAACGCGATTTTTCGTACAATCAGGGTCCATAATTCATGAAGTTACAATTCGATATGCACTATCGAAAGGAACCACTATATTTGGAATAGATACAAACATTTCAAGTGTCATCAAAATCTAATATAACTTGTGACGTCTAGTAGGTCCACAACCTTAGTTGGTATTACATACTTTTACACTATTTGCCATTTTGTAGGACAGTTTCGGACCGATTTTCACGAAATTCGAACTCATCCATCATTAGGGTGTATCGATGATATATTTAAACGGTGTTTAAAATCAGATATAAATTGTCACCTCTTGAAGGACCACAAGATTTAAATTCAATTTTTTGTACAATCAGGGGCCATAATCCTGGAGTTTAAGATCCGAAATGCGCAAATATCAAATGGAACGGGAATCTTTGGGTTAGAAACATACATTTTAAATTTCATTAAAATCGGATAAATAATGTGCCCTGTAGAGTGTCCACAAACAAATGTGGACAGACAGCCGTCTGGGGCGAACGGCATAATAAGTCCACATGAAAATGTGGGCGTATAAAAATAACCATGTACATTATGGAATTTGGGCACCTGTTTATGGTTTCGAAATACAAATTCCTGAGCTATAGAAACCAGTACATTGTTATACAATTTACACTCTAATTTACATCAGATTTGTTGATTTGGATTGTGTGTTTGAAATAGCTTTATTTAACGTCCGCTTCCACCGAAGTTACATCGCAGACAAATTTGGATGTTGTTCCTAATGTTTAATGTCCACTCCCACCGAAGGTGACATTGCAGACAAGCCTTATTTTCACTTTTATTATCTTAGCGCAAGCGTAGGGGTCTTTCCTGTTGGAGGATACCTGGAGGAAACCCACGAGTTTGAGAAGGCGCTCCAATCATAAAGCCACATAGGCTGACACCAGGGATCGAAACCACAAACGCAAGCCAGAGGTGACCGACCAGTTGAAGGTTAAAGTGTGACAATCTAGACCACTAGACCCCCCTCCCCTCAGATTGTCACTCAATAAACATCTAAATACCTGTGAACTTGATAAGACAACCAATCAAACCTGTAGATAGTTAAAGTCTTTCAAAAAACTTAGAACAGAGGTATTGATTGGTAGGTTACTCTGGGGTTGACCAATGACAATCATAATCTGTAGGCTATGAAGAATAGACTTTAGGTCAAGACGTACAAAAGGAAGTCAAAAATGTTGGTATAATTTCAATTAGACTGTAATTTAAGATAAAACATTTGGAATTAGTCAAATAAATATGACAATCGGATTAAAATACAGATCTATATATTTTGTTTCGTTTTTTTATACTTTCAATGGCCTACACTACATAAAGATCTGACCCTATGATGTCAAAACCAACCAGCGTTGATGTTTCTACATGTAGTGGGTTACCCACAGATCTGTGCAATTCATGCCAAAAACTCGCTGTAACAGAACGTTTCATTGGCTAATCCCTCACATCATCCAGAATGTGGGTTACATAACAACTCTTGCAGATCCTAGTGTAGTAAAGACAAGTAAAACGAAATTTTGAACTATAAAAAATGAAACGAAATAGGATCTGTATTTCCATCAGATTGATAAATATGATCAAGCACATCTGTCATTTACTTGATATAGATGCTATCTTGTCTAAATATCTATGTACAATCATGAAGGTATAATGAAAACGGCATTCTTTTTTATCAGGACAATATTTATTATAACTCAGTGAAATATTTTCAAATAGAATCCCCATGGTATGGATATGACCACTTGAAAAAACAACCATACAATTAACCTGTTTTTACTAAATAAATTTTTAACGATTTTGAGATTGTCTAAAAGGTTATTCAGAATTCTAAATAGTCCATAATAAGATCTTAATACGATGCACAGTGCCACTGATCTTGTTACAGAGACAGAGAGAAATGGGGTTTAACACCCACTCGACACAAACTAGATCATTTCGGGACTAACATATGGTTCAATTTTATTTCAATAATTTGCTTGTGCGCGTAGGGGTCTCTAGCAGTGGGAGGAAACCAGAGAACCCGGAGAAACCACACGAGGCTGGACAGGCAACCCTACTCCTTGGCACGCTCTAACCATTTGGCCATCCAACCCCCCAATCCATGCCCTGAATGCATTTTTCTTCATGTAGTGACCAAGATAACACTTGTAGTAAAATAGTTCTGGAATTAGATCAGTGGAAACCATTAAAGAAATGTTATCATTGTTACAGAATGTTAATTTATTCAGTCTACTTGTGAGGGCTGTTTCTATTTTCGCTTATAGTCCAATGAGATTTTAACCACTTTCTCTTTATAAAAATCACTTATTAAGCATTAGCGGTCGGTGTCGTAGGAATGTTTCGAAACGCAGACAGGCCTAAATCCGTCCATTTCTGTTCTTGTTCAAGCCGAGTTTCTAGAGAGGGTCCATTATCAGGTTCGGCTTCAGGAAGTTCCATAACTGGCACCAAGATATCTTCGACAGGTAATGTATCTTTTCTCCATTCTTCGTCTATGACATCCATTAGTCTGCCATCCCTCTGTAACTCACTGTCCATGTTGCCACACAGGACTCAATCAAACTATTAAATACAAAATTATTATAAATTAAAGGGCGTATGAATCTCTTCTTTCGAACCTTAATATATACGAAAATTGGTCTAAAGGCAAATAGTAATGTAATATGAATGTATTTCAATTTGATTAAACTAAAGATTTATATTTCGTTTCGTTTTTTAATTCTTCCGATGAAGATCTGACCGATTGTAGTGGAAGGTCGCATCAGGGGTCATCCGAGTGGCTTTTGACCCTATGACGACAGACATTTGTTTAACCAATCAGCGTTGATGTTTCTAATGGGTTACCACAATTCCATGCACCCCCTGCCAAAACATTGGCTAATCCCTAAGAACTCTTCCAGATCCTAGCGTATTAAAGACAAGTAAAACGAAATTTTGAAGTATAAAAAACGAAACGAAATAGGATCTGTGTTTTAATCAAATTGGTGATACGTAAACAGTCCAAATTGAACAACAGTTGTTTATGTCTACTTTACTTAGTCCATTTTACATGTTTTTTAAAAGATTTTGTCGTTTGTGAATCACTAATTACTTCCGCATCATCTTGTAGGATATGTTTTTCTTTGGCATTCGAAACCATAAATACACGACTCATCACATGTACTGATTTTAAAATGCTCCCTGTGTTTTAATTTCAAATATTATGGAAAATATTGAGTTAGACTGAGAGAGAGAGAGAGAGAGAGAGAGAGAGAGAGAGAGAGAGAGAGAAATGGGGTTTAATGTCCACTCGACACTAACATATGGTTTAATTTTATTTCAATAATTTGCTTGCGCGTGGGAGGAAACCGGAGGACCCGGAGAAAACCCACGAGGTTGGACAGGCGACCCTACTCCTTGTCACTACAACCAGGGGTTAGACTTAGAGGTTTCCCCATTTGTGAAAAACTAATAATTTAGCATTTTGATTCTGTGGTGGTATGACATTTCAGGTAATCAGAAGAATTTTGGGCTTGGCCAATATATGATGAACCATGGTTTAAAATACGTGCAGCCCTTTTTTTTACTTTTCCTACAGCACAACAAAGGGTTAGTTCTAAATGATAAGGCCAGCTCAATTTTTCATCATAGGTCACGAGATGTAAACAGGACTAGCACTAATCAGTAATCCCAACCCGAACCCAATGCTTACGCTAACCCTAACCTACAATCTCGCCATCAGTCACGTGCCCTAACATTATTTACATCTCAACGACCGTGACAAAAATTGAGCCGACCTTATTCAACAAATGGGGTGGATGGCCGAATGGTTAGCACGTGCGTGCTGTATCACAAAGCCTGTCATTGAGTCAACTGGCGTGGTTTCGAATCCCCGGTTGTACGTGGCAAGGAGTAGGGTCGCCTGTCCAACCTCGTGGGTTTTCTCCGGGTCCTCCGGTTTCCTCCCACTGCTAAAGACCCCTACGCGCAAGCGAATTATTGAAATAAAATTAAACCATATGTTAGTCACGAAATGACCTAGTTTGTGTCGAGTGGACGTTAAACCCCATTTCTCTCTCTCTACTCTCTTTATTCAACAAATAGATTTACTAGCTCAATATGAACAAACAGTTGAGTTCATCAATTTTCAAAGTTCAAGGAACACATTGCAATGGATTATGTATAGGCCTGTACATAGACAACGTGTTATTCAATAACGTAACTAGTACACGTTATATTTACAATTTCAATGCAAGATAGATCTATCGGTAATTTACTTGTATATTTTTATTTCAAACCTCTCGATGAAAATCTCTACTTTAGCTTTAATAAATAATGGTGGATAACTCTCATAGAAAACCCAAACGGGACACAACGGCACAATTACAATACGACGCACCTTACTGATCTTCAAAAAAGAATGAAATGTCACATTTGCTTGCTTGATTGCACATTGCAAGGAGTTGTGAACTGAGCTAGGGCAATGAAAATGAAAATTTGATTTCTTATTTTTGAAGGAGGCACGTACACGGAAATAAAAAAGGCACGTCTCAAAGTGACATCGACCTTGACTGTGTATGCAGACATGCGCAGATTCATTTTTATCTCACGTGTATTTGTTTATGATATAAAATGTACTATTAGATAACTCGATCGAGTCATTACAACTATCACAACAGTAAAATTTGCATCTTGCCAATATGCCACTCTTGCAAAATACGTTATTTGGAACTGTATTGGGAAAGGTCTTTGCCAGCGGAACTTTGGGAACCCGCCAACAGTTATGCCATGACTGTTCACATTGCTTACGTCGTCGTTCAGCCGTTACATTATCGTTGTCAACACCATCGCCATCGAATAACAAGAGCTCGAGATCCGACGGAGCTATTAGAAGTTTACAGAAAAGACGAATTTCATCAGACACATTCAGAATGAATATTGGTGGCGAGAAAGATTTTATATTTAAACAGGTAGATCTACAACTTTACGTCTTTTTTTTTTTAAGGCAGGTAGGACTGAGGAGACCCTGCAACATATGTGTAAAATGTGGGCATGAGGGTAATAATATTGATAATATGGGGCACAGCTCTGACAAGCTTATCACGTTACATTTCTTTGAAAGCGGTATTTACCAAAGGCTTTTTTATCGACTTGCCAAATAGATTTGAATTTAGTGGAGATGTCATGTGACAGTACAGTCGATTTCAAAGTACTTTGGCGAGTTCGTTAAATGCTCAGATTAGCTGTAAACAATTGTTGTGGCTGGACACAGTTGAAAAAAACATGTGATCACCCGATCAAATCGTCAAATCGCACCCTGAAGTGATTTGGCGATTTGATGTAATCGCATCGGAAATCGGTGTCGATAAATGCGTTGATTAGGGTAACCAATTTGAATTAGATGGACATTAAAGATGAAAATTTGATTGAATGCAAATCACTTTGGCTTATCAGTGGTCGATAAAAACGCCTAAAGACTTCTACATCTTGGTCATCAATTGAGACATATTCCTCACGGGGTCAATCAATTTGAATTGCACATGACCTCAGAATTTTTGGACCAAACACAAATTTTTTGACCAAACCCAACCCTAAACCTAACCCTAGCACGCGGTGAGTGTCAGTGTCGCTAAAAATAAACCATCATCTTGTTTATCAATGCAAGATTTCGTCAATTCACCATGCATGGCCGGTGTTGTGAGGAATGTCTCCCTTGCTTGTGCAAAATTTGACTTCTACATCATCTAAACATGTGTTAGGCCTACACATCATAAAAAGTTCAGAAAAACATACCACAAAAGAAAAAAGCTTGATCAGTATTTTAAAAAATTTCTACCTTACTTAAAAGTTTTTTGGGGGTGAAGACAATCAGTGCATTTCATGAAAATTTACCATATAAACTAAATCTGTTCTGATATTAAAATAAATTATTACTGTTACTAGTGTTAGGCTCTAGCCTGTAGTTAAGGGGAGAGAACTCCTGATCTATCTTTATAAAATTCTGACTAATATTGTCACTTTAGGTAATATGGGACATATGGGGTGATATGAGCCATGGTTCATATTCCATCGTAAAAATAAATTATGCACAGAATCTTAACAAATTTCTTGGGAATGATTTGTAAAATAAATAATAAGTTCAAATTATTTTTAGCAATTTTATTTTTTTCATTTGTTTCAGAAGCATTATAACAACTATTAGGCTAGGGGAAGGGGTGTAATATGCAATATAATTTTTTAATGTGTAATATTTCATAGGTATAATGAATTGATAACTAAACCTATATCTTTTAACTGAAAATGCACTACAAATTTCTCATTTTGTTCTGGTAGCAGTATCAGAAATCTGTAACATGCTGTCAGCTCATATTACCCTATCCATGTGGGGTAATATGGGCCATCACCCTTTATTTTTCAAAAAATTAGCAACTCACATTGTCCTTATATTTTAAAAATTGAAAGATGAGTTCAGTAGCTTTAACTAGAAAGTTGATTTGTTTTAATATCACATTATGATTATACCCATGAAATATTCCACAGCAAAAAATTATGTCGTATTAATTTGTTACGTACTTGATGTGTTGCACGACCAGGTAAACTTGGTAAATAGATATTTGATGTTTGTTAGTTTCTGATATATCGACAAACACTGATATACTGTACAAAATGAACACAGGTAGCCTACATGTACTAAATGCATTCTATTTCATTTTGATTTTACATTACAAATCATGATAGCTAAAAAAAAGGGTTATTTTATAAACTCTTAAACATGCATTATGCAAGAGCAAAATCTGCTTATTACAAGTCTTTCTTTAGTCCTGAAATGTTATCTAAATTATCAATTAGACATTAATTAACTTATCCAGACCATAATAAACTCTCGATGTCAAGGCTAGCCTTCGATGTAGGCTGGATTAGATTCCTATATGCCGCTAACGGCCAAAGATAATTAAATCAGAAAAAGTGGATAATCGAGACTACGCTGTTTATATTAATGATTTTAGTAATGATGACCGAGACTATGCAAAAATTTCACCCGCTTCTTTCTCGGCTCATAGTGGATCAATTTGACTGAAATTTTCAGCAAATTACCTATACACTATCTAGTTTTTAACTATTATAGCGAGTACTGCCATTTCCTTTGTCTTATCTCCCATAATTTATCTTTAAGCCTACAGAAATCTTGTGCAGGATGGTGAACTTGGACATCCTGGTAGCTATGTTTCTTCATGGTGGATAAAATTTTCAATTTCACCATTGAATATTCACAATAAATAGAAAATATATTTCTTGTAAAAAAAACTTTATATATTTATGAATTCAATACCAAACAAACAAATGTTTTCTCTGTAATCAGAAGAATTTTCTATAAGTTTTATAAGAGATATGATAACTATTGTATTAATAAGATGACCCAATATAGATAGCTTATTTAATGTTTTATCTGATTAAATATTGCTTACTTTGTTTAATAAAAGTTTTAAACTAGTTTTACTACGGGTAAGACTATACTATATTGTATTGTAAAGATTATGCCTCATACAATTTTTTTTATTTCGATCATATTTGCCCGTTTGATCAATAAGGGCAATCGACCTGCCATGGCCTTGTTCATGAATACTTTTAAAACTAAGATATTTCTATAAACTATAACACATACTTATGGAAAAACAGCTACTGATTTATTTGGGCGAAATTTCGAAGAGTATTCTCTCAATGGTATCAAGCTAATTAGTTTATTGCTCTATCCAGTTACTAAATGCCTCTCAAAGATATTTCTGTACTGGGACCTTATTCATGAAAACTAAAATATTCTAAGGATGCAGCCTTTTCATTGGTTGGGGGTTAAAACCAAAGCACAAATTTTAGCTTTTATCTAATGGAAATGATACTTTCTTAAAATAATTTAGTTTAGGTTTTTTTAGTGCATAAGGTCCCAGGCTTTTAAGTTACATTTAGCCAATAAAAAAAAATGAGGAATGCGCTAATCTTCTCAGAATTAAACCTGTTAGTCAATTTAATTGTTTTTAAAAAGTTAATATCAGTTTTACTAGACTACTTAACTTTATAAATTTTTAGAATTTCCTTTGTCAATATTTTTCAGCTTCTTGATTACAAATCATACACATACACATACCTGTTGGGTGATTGCTTGACCAGAGAAGCCGTCTTGATAGATCCTGTCATAGAAATGGCCGACAGGGATATCCAGGTAATAAAAGACCTGGGGTTAAATCTCAAATATGCAGGTAGCTATGTGATATTATAAATCATTGATTACTTTGCATATTTTTTATTAAAATAACTATTAAACATGCATTATGCAAGAGGTAAATCTGCCTATTGTAGGTCTTTCTTTAGGCCTGAAATGTTCTATAAACTATTAATTAGACATTTATTAACATGAAAAGACCTTAATTAACTTTCGATGCTATGATGTGTTCGATTTTCACTGCATTTGAATCCGATCTGCTGCTCAACGCTCATTGATGATTAAATGCAAAAATGGATAATCAAGACTATGTTTTTTATCGTACCGACTTTAGTAATGATGATCGAGGCTAGGCCTAAAATTCAATCTCTAATATCTCAGTTCATAGTGGAGCAATTTGACTGAAATTTTCAGCCAATTCCCTTTACATTATGTTTTTTTAACTATTATAGTTAGAACTGTCAGCTCTTTATCTAATCTTTCATAATGCCCCTTTAACTATCTTTATGTTCATGATGTAACTTGGTTTGTAAATCATTGTGTTTGGAGTGGTTGTCCTTCACTTATGACTAGCCCCCAGATCCATTCACTTAACTTGATATATACGTTTGTTTGTGATTTCTGTCTGTGGTGTCCGTATATTTGTTTTATGTAGTTGTGTGTGGTGCAGTCGCCCTGTACTTACTATTATTAACGGATATGTGTAAGGACAATCTAAATTCATTCCAGCCTTTGTACTTTGTAACTTTGAAGAGATTGATATAAATGATTTGCTAGATACCATACCTACATGTAGCTGACTTAATTGATTAACCAACAATTTCATAGGATGCTACCTGCCTTACATATAAATCAATTAACACCTTATCTAAAGAGGGTGGAGTATTCATGCACTTTAGATAATAAAGTCTGTCATTTAGTCAAGTGGCGTGGTTTGTACGTGACAGGGAGTAGGGTCACTTGTCCAACTTCATGGATTTTCTCTGGGTCCTCTGGTTTCCTCCCACTGCTAAAGACCTGTATGCAAGCAAATTATTGACATAAAATTGAACAATATGTAAGTCCAAAAAAAAAACCTATTTGTGTCAGTGGACCTTAAACTCTCTCAACTTTTCACTCATGTCGGTTCCCAATATCACGATTCGTGTTATGATTGAAATCGCGGTTTTAATCGTGGAGTAATCACGGTGATCCTATAAGTTCTTATTATAATATTCAGGTCAGTCATAGCAATTGTGTTGACCGGATCGAAACGTATCTGTGTGAAGCAGATCGTGGACTCAGTATCATAACACATTGCAGGAAACTGGCATAAGGCATTGAAATCAAGATAAATGTTGCCATTTTTGGACACAATGTGGACCCACAGATCATTTAAGATTTGTCATTAAATATCCCTGTATTGGCCGAGAAAGTTCAGCAGGTTTTCCGACATGGTTTTCCCTTGTAAGTGGTGCAGGACGGAAGGTCTAACAAGGACAGCTGCCTAGTCGTTTGGATGGGACAAAAAAACTGATATCCCCGTGTATACATTGGCAAGTACGTAAAAGATCCCTTGGCAGTTGGAATTCAGTATAAGAGTAGATAGTGCCGTTGCCCAGGCAAAATTTTCTTCATAGCACACTGTATGGCATATGCCCGTCTTCATTAGCCCAGGTGGAGCAGAACAGTAGGACGTTAAACCCCATTTCATTTCGTCATTAAATTCCATTCCGTACAGTATTTTTCTTTCATGTATCAGAATATGATTAGGTATTTAAAATATCTGTTGTTTTTGTTTCAGTCAATACACATGTACATGCTGATCATATAACTGGATCGGGTGTTTTAAAGAAAAGATTAAAAGATTGTAAAAGTATGATAGCCGATGTCAGCCAAGCTAAAGCCGATATTAAACTGAATGAAGGTGACCTTATAAAGTTTGGAGGTCATGAGTTGGAGGTTCGTTCAACACCTGGACATACTGATGGTATGTTTGTCTCCAATCAATAATTCTTTCCATTAAACATACATTATGCAACAGCTAAATCTGCCTATTGCAGGTCTTTCTTTAGGCCTGAAATGTTATCTAAATTATTAATTAGACATTAATTAACATCAAGACCATAATCAACTCTCGATGTCATCGTTAGTCTGCGATATTTACTGGATTGGAATACATTCTGTGCATGATAATTCAACATAAAAATGGATAATCGAGACTATGTGTTTTATCGCACCGACTATAGTAATGATCATCAAGGCTAAGCTTAGAATTCAATCGTTAATATCTTGGTTCATGGTAAAGAAATTTGACTGAAAATTTCAGCATAGTCTATTTATGTGATCTATTTTTTAACTATTATAGCGAAAACTGTCAACTCTTTATCTAATCTCCCATAATTCCCCTTTAAAATTGACGTTAATTTAGGAATCGCCTTGCTCTAAAAGGGTAGTGGTTACCTGAACTTGCAAGAAATTAAAATTTGGTGAGTAGGGGGGGATCACGTGGCTAAGTGGGTAAGACTCTGGCTCGCTAGCCTGGAGGTTGGGTGTTCGATCCCTGCATTGGCCGAGAAATTTCTTCCATAGCACACTGTATGGCTATGCCCGTCTTCATTAGCCCAGTTCGGAGCAGAACAGTAGGACGTTAAACCCCATTTCATTTCATTTGGTGAGTAGGGATCCCGTACAAAACTGAACACTTTTTGGGCCGTGATTATGTTGTTTATATAAATGCCATAGGTGACTGCTGGTCTTTTTAGAACTATAAACAAACAAAACAAAATAGAATCTATAGGATAATTTATAGGATGTATATCGTATGTTTGGTTGTATTTGCTACTGTGTGTTTTATAATTTATAGGATGTTTATCATATGTATGGTTGTATTTGTTACTGTGTATTTTATAATTTATAGGATGTTTATCGTATGTATGATTGTATTTGTTACTGTGTGTTTTATAATTTATAGGATGTTTATCGTATGTATGGTTGTATTTGTTACTGTGTGTTTTATAATTTATAGGATGTCTATCGTATGTATGGCATAATAAGATGGTCGTGTTTACTGGTGATGCTGTATTAATCAGAGGTTGTGGTCGAACTGATTTTCAACAAGGTATGTTGTATTCTATGATTAAGTCTTTATATAAAACAAAATGAAATGAAATTTGGTTTAATGCCGTTGTTTTCTGCACCTGACAGACTAATACAGATGAGTATACACCCTGCAGCATGCTATGAGAAAATGTAAATCGAACAATGGCATTTTTGCTATTTTTCATTGAATTCCATGTAAACGGGAAAATTTATCCTATAGGTTACAGATTTTCTGGCCTACGGATAAATCCGTAGATTTAGAACAAGTCCTATTCACGTGGGATTTGTCCGATAAATTGACAAATCAAATGCAAGCATGCACTTCCTCAAGATGTCCCACATTGAACTCAGCCGGGCCAAAACAGAGAATTTTATTTTTTATTTCAATCGCCAAAGAGTGCTATGGTCGATTCATTCTCAAGATTACCATAAGCGCCAGAAATGGTTTATTTACATTTCTGCTAACTGTGTCACATGACCAAAACCCATAGGATTTTACTTACTGGATGACCACAGAAACTTAAAGGATTTATCCTTTAAGACTTTCGCTAGGATTTGTCTTAAAGGATAAACCTACTAGTGTGACTTGGCCTTCTCCTAGACCTCGTTCCAGCCACACTTGACATCGCGAAACCAGGCTGTAAAAACATGGGGAACTTTTCCAGGAAACATCAGAATAGAGGCCAGTGGGTCTCCTGGTTACTGAGAAAGTGCCATACTCAGTGAACCCACCAAAAATAATGAAACTGAACCTCAACTGAACCAGCTAATGTATAGGTCAATACTTTGTGTTTTAAGTGCTCTATACAAAAATGTTGATCAGACAACTTTAAGTACACTTGACAAATTCGAAGTTGTTTTAACTCTTTAGCACTTGGTACATGTAAATATTGACTATCCCCGTTCTGTATTATCGGACCATTTACTAGTCTGTTCGAGGCAGTGGTGCTAAAGGGTTAGGAATCCCATGACTCAAAATGTTCACTTCTAGTAACTTGCTCGTTACAGTCAAAATTTGTGTTTTATCAAGTTAATATGAGCCAGAAAGGAATGTGTTTATAAAACTAAGATCTCCAATTCCAATAATTTCAATAATAATCTGATATGATAACAGATGACCTCTAGTCAGTTCAATAAAATGATGAATTAACTGTTTATTTACCTGTATTTCATGTTTTCTGACCAGTGATGCTGGTCGTCTGTATAATGAATTAACTGTTTATTTACCTGACTGTATTTTATGTTTTTAACAGGTGATGCTGGTCGTCTGTATGATTCTGTTCATAACAAGATTTTTATATTACCTAAAGACTACGTTATTTATCCCGCTCACGATTATACAGGTTAGATTTCTTCTTCGTTTTATTACTAACCTTTAACAAGTGCAACATCGCTAAATTGCATATTGGTTTTGGTTATTATGCGCCCACATTTTCATGTGGACGTATATTGTCGTCGCTCCTGTCCCTCCGTCCACAATTTATTTATGGACACTCTACACGTCACACTTTTTATCCGATTTTGACAAAACCTGAAATATAGGATTATCTCAAAAAGATCAGATTCCTGTCGATATTTGCATGTATATTATCGAAACTTCAAGGATTATGGCCCCTGATTGTACGAAAAATCACGCTTTTAGCTTGTGGACACTTTGAATCTAAAATTGTATAAAAAGTAAGCCACGTAAAGCGCGGAAATATGCCCACACATCAGTTGCTTTGACAGTAGCTTACTCGAAAGGATTTGCCATAGGGTCCCACCTTCAAGAAATCTGATTTCTATCTTCTTCACAAGCTTGAAAAAATCTGTTGACAACTGTTGCCTCTTGCTTCACAGCGTATGTTTCATTGTCTGTCAACGCATGTCTGTTGACTGAACCTACTGTGTGCCGAAAGATTGACAGAAGATTTCATTGAATGTATACAAAATATCCATCCTGCCATGGCTGAGGTTCACTTGCATCCAACTATATTCAAGAAATTACAGATTCAGTACTATGAATATTAATTTGATTGACAAGGCAATTAAAATGGCTTAAATAAGCATTGACGATAATTTAAATTGATGAGATATTTTCTTTTTTAGGACAAACTAGTTCTACTGTAGGAGAAGAAGTGAGGTATAATTCGAGATTAGGAAAGACTAGAGAGGAATTTATCAAATTAATGAAAGAATTAAACTTGCCGTACCCCAAACAAATAGGTCAGTATTATCAGATTTAAATTCATGTGTAAATTGTAAAAGTCAGTGTATAGTTCTGTGACAAACTCTTGTAGCTACTGTGGGCTTGGATGGCCAAATGGTTAGCACGTGCGTCTTGTATCATAAGATCTGTCATTGAGTCAAGTGGTGTGGTTTCGATTCCCCTGTTGTACGTGACAAGGAGTAGGTTCCCCTCTCCTCTCCAACCTTGTGGGTTTTCTCCAGGTCCTCTGGTTCCTTCCCACTGCTAAAGACCCCTACGCACAAGCAAATTATTGAAATAAAATAGAACCATATGTTAGTCCTAGATTATGTCGATTGGGCATGCAAATGTTAATATTTTCGTACATTCTGACCAATTAAGATATATTCAGGTATTGTCAGCTTTTAATAACACTAATATAGGCTTACATTAATGTAGGGTTTAAAACAATACAGAGAGAGAGAGAGAGATGGGGTTTAACGTCCACTCGACACAAACTAGGTCATTTCGGGACTAACATATGGTTTAATTTTATTTCAATATTTCGCTTGCGCGTAGGGGTCTTTAGCAGTGGGAGGAAACCGGAGGACCCGGAGAAAACCCACGAGGTTGGACAGGCGACCCTACTCCTTGCCACGTACAACCGGGGATTCGAAACCACGCCAGTCGACTCAATGACAGACTTTATGATACAGCGCGCGCACGCTAACCATTCAGCCATCCAACCCCCCTAAAACAATACAGAGAGGTTGAATGACCGAATGGTAAACGCGTGCGCGTTGCACATAAGGTCTATCATTGAGTCAAGTGGCGTGGTTTAGATTCCCGGGTTCTACATTTCTCTGGGTCCTCCGGTTTCCACCCACTGCTTAAAGGAGCTAAATCGCTAATATTTGGGACCTAGAAATTGACACATATGGGTAGCAACACACATAATAATGTAGTATGAATGTATATAAACGATACGTGTACCAATGGTAAAATGTTTATTTTGTCTTGAATATTGGATATCAGAAGCCCATCTTTTCCCTGTAAGATCACAAGACCAATGTTGATTTGAATTGACAAATAATTTGTGTTTTCAATGTCGAAGATTTTTGATGATATTGAGTTAGAGACTTAGCTACTTTAAGATCCCTATGCACTGGCGAATAATTGAAATAAAATTATATCATATTATGTTAGTCCCGAAATGTCTTAGTTTGTGTCAAGTGGTTGCTACACCTCTCTCTCTCTCTCTCACTCTCTCTCGCTCTCTCTCTCTCCCTTAATTCAGCTTTAATATACATTTAAAAAAAAAAAAAAGATTTACATTGAATACAATTTTCTGCTAGAGGCAAATTAAAATATCCATACATTGTGGGGCACCAATTAGACACAATTATTTATCTGGTGCCTGTTATATATTGTAACATAGTTTCTGTGGGTTTAAGGTGTTTTTAATACAAAGTTGAAAAAGTCAAATACAACTTCAGCCTAGTGTGAACCCTGACCTCAACAAACACACAAAAAAAAAATAAACAGTGTTTCTGATAATTTTTAACATGAAAGAGTTGAATACTCCAAAATTTCTTATTCAATTTCCTTCCCTGCAACATGGTTTACTTGTCTTCTTGCAGATAAAGCCCTTCCTGCCAATATGGTTTGTGGAATCTTTGATGAAGAAGAGCAAAAGAATTGAATGATAATGGGACCACATTCCTAAGAAAGAGTTTACCAAGAAACCTGTGCTACCGAGGCTATAATGCAGGATGCAGAGTAAAGATTTGTTTATACTCTGGCTTATTTTTCAGTGAATTATCTGGAATATTTTATTTGTTATTCTACTGTTAATAATTTGAGGGTCTTCCCATTGTAAATATAATATATAGTACATGTACAGCCTTTTGTCAGAATAACAGAATTATCGAAAAACTTATGGATCATAGAATCTAATAAACTTTAAAAAAGGTGATATATATATATATATAATATTTAAAGGTCCCCAGAAAAGCTTCATATTTTTTTTAAATGATGCAAGTAATTATGTCAACATATCCTTTCCATAAGTATAACACAAACCCTGAATGTCAATGTTACCTGCAACAGGTAAATTTCAACGTTAGTAATTTCCGCTATTGGTAGTTGTAACTTTCAGTCCTTTTAGTCCTTCTGTTCATAGAAATATAGACTAGAATATGAGCAGAAGGACTAAAATGATGTCACAGATTGTTTATTGTCAATATTTCTATACACTTATGGAAAGGATATTGCATTATTTAAAAAAATTTATGAAGTTTTAACTGGCGACCTTTAAGGGAATAAAACTATCTATATGAAAAGTATCTTTTTAAGAATGTATTGTGATGTATTTTTTCAAATGGCCTAAGCACAGACTTGACGACATTCAGGGTATGCTTACTTACTTTTACAGAACTAATTGTACTTGGTATCATCTGCCACTTAATTACCCCTTTTTTCGGTTTCTCGAATAGTGAAGGAATAGTGCATGAACTGTAGATGGTAGGGCCTGTTATCTGTGCAAGTCACTGTTCAATCCCAGGTCTGTGCGTGTGACAAGGAGTAGAGTGGTATATGTGGGTTTTATTGTAATAAGAAATACCTGTATTGTGTACTGTCTATGCATGTGCTGTATCTATGTACTGTTTGTTCTTTCTTTGTTGAGTCTTTAGATATATATATATATATATATATACTGTATTGCCTGTTACTAATAGTAAGTGCAGGTGGACTGCACCACACGAACAAGACACAATACACAGAAATCACAAACAAACATACATACATATTAGATTTTAATATTATATTAGTCTATAAGTTATTTAACTTAAACATACATTATGCAAGAGCTAAATCTGCCTATTGCAGGTCTTTCTTTAGGCCTGAAATGTTTTCTAAAGTATTAATTAGACATTAATTAACTGATCCAGGCCTTAATCAACTCTCGATGGCATCAGATTTCTCCAATATTAAATAGATTAGAATGGTTGAGCGATACTTTGATTTAATCAAATATGGAGGACCGAGACTTAGCTTCGATCAACCAGTACGGTGGTTGAAATTATTGCACATGTCTGTCAAACCTTCAAAGGCTAATATCTTCGCTTGTAATAGAGTAATTTGAATGAAATTTTCAAATTATTCATTTTACATCATCTACTTTCGAACTATTATAGCAAGAATGGCTAGTTCTTTATCTAAATCTTACATAATGTATCTTTAATATTATTGTAATATTGTTATGTAGATTAATCAATTTGCCTGTTCTTTCATAAAATTTAACGCACTTGTGTATTACACTTTAGCAGTGGGAGGAAACGGGAGAACTCAGAGAAATCGAAAAAAGACAGTATAAGTTGAAATGATCAAGACTAGTTTTGTGTGATAAATAATTAATAAATGTTCTAACCGTATCTGATGGAATTGAATTCCTATTACTGGTATATTTTTAAAATTTTTCTTCAGCAAAAATAAATAATTTTATAATATTTTGTTTATCTGTTATACAGTTTAAACGCTGATTGGATGACAGGTGATAAAGACTACACCTGACAGTCTGAATACCTGATGTTAGCTGTCATTCAAGATGACCAGTCTGCAATGTCACCTTTTCGTCCATCCAAACACCATAAAAACGGCATTATTTTCAATAAAAGTCTCCTACTAAATGAAATGAAATGAAATGGGGTTTAACGTCCTACTGTTCTGTTCCGAATGGGCAAATGAAGACAGGCATACACCATGCAGTGTGCTGTGTGCTATGAGGGAAATTTTGCCCGGGGCAGTGACACTACAGCCTACTCTTATATCATATTCCAGCTGCCAGGGGATCTTTTATGAGCACGCCAATGTGTACCTTGGTTTTTCGTCCCATCCGAACAACTTGACAGCTGTCCTTGTCAGGCCCTCCGTCCTGCACGGCTGACAAGGGGAAACCACCCCGGAAAATCTTGATGAACTTTCTCGGCAAACACCAGGAGTGAACCTGCAACTTCCAGGTGAGCAAGCCAGCGTCTTACTCACTTAGCCACCGTGACTCCCAGTCTACTACTAGTAGAAAGATGAAAACTGAGGGATTCTTACAGCGAATAATCCAATGAAATGCTTTCAGTGTCGGAATAATGTGGATAGTAAGAAGAATATAATGAAATGAGAGAGAGAGAGAAATGGGGTTTAACGTCCACTCGACACAAACTAGGTAATTTCGGGACTAACCTATGGTTTTAATTTTATTTCAATAATCCGCTTGCGCATAGGGGTCTTTAGCAGTGGGAGGAAACCAGAGGACCCGGAGAAAACCCACGAGGTTGGACAGGCGACCTTACTCCTTGTCACATACAACCGGGGATTCGAAACCACGCCAGTCGACTCAATGACAGACTTTATGATACAGCACGCGCACGCAAACCATTCAGCCATCCAACCCCCCCCCCCCCATAATGAAATGAAATGAAATAGGGTTTAATGCCCAACTGGGCTGGGGGTGGGGGTGCGGATGGCCGAATGGTTAGCATGTGTGCGTTGCATCATAAGATCTGTCATTGATTCAACTGGCGTGGTTTCGATTCCCTGGAGCCAGGTGGGGGACGAACATTTCACCACTGTCCTTCCCAGTCTCGTCCAAAATGTAAAAATATTTCTTAAGAAACATGGCCAGTAATCAATCTGATTAAAATACAGATCTATATTTCGTTTCGTTTTTTATATATACTTTCGATGGCCTACATAGTAAAGACAGGTAAAACGAAATTTTGAACTATAAAAACGAAACGAAATAGGATCTGTGTTTTAAAGGGACAATAACACTCTTGCTGGCTTGACAGCTCCAGAAAATAAATAATAGCCTTATTCTAAGTACTCGATGTGTTAGTGTCCTACCTGTTGTGTAAATTTCCCATTACATCCTATTTTACTTGTCCAGAGGGTTCGAAAATATTTTTAAATCCAAGTCACATTTGAAAAGGTTTACGTTAGACTTTTCAAATCATTTAGTTGAATTTTTCCAATTTTTTAAATTAGGTGTGTTGAGATGAAATTTGTATCATCAATTAATTGGAATATTGTAAAATAGTACAATTTGTTGACCAGAATAAAGATTGGGACATATTATTCAGTTACAACAAGAGTGGTATTGAGCCTTTAACAAGTGTAGTAAAGACAGTAAAACGAAATTTTGAACTATAAAAACGAAACGAAATAGGATCTATGTTTTAACCGGATTGAGCCAGTAACTTAAATACTCAACCAAATTAATGTTACTTTCTGTAGGTACATTTGTATCTAAATAAAACAACAAATTCTATTAGGAAAAGAAATGAAATGGGGTTTAAGGTCTAACTGTTCTGCTCCTATACTGGGCTAATGTAATGATTGTACGAAAAATCACGTTTTTAGCTTGTGGACCCTTTAGAGGTCATAATTTTTATCTGATTTAAAAAACCGTATTATTATATCACCGTTACACCCTAAGGTAGGTTGAGTTCGAATTTCGTGAAAATCGGACGAAAATTGCCGGACAAAATGGCCGCCGTTTGTATGCGAATAGTTTAAAAATATGATAAATCAAGGTTGTGGACCCTGTATGGGTCACAACTTTAATTTGATTTTGACGAAACTTGAAATGCATGTTTATAACCTAAAGATCTTGGTTCCTTTCGATATTGTCGCATATCGGATCGTAACTTCCTGAATTATGGCCCCTGATTGTACGAATAATCGCGTTTTTAGCTTGTAGACCCTATAGAGGTCATAATTTATATCTGATTTAAAAAAAACCGTATTATTATATCACCGTTACACCCTAAGGCAGGTTGAGTTCGAATTTCGTGAAAATCGGACGAAAATTGCCGTCAAAATGGCCGCCGTTTGTACGCGAATAGTGTAAAAATAGGGTAAATCAAGGTTGTGGACCCTGTATGGGTCACAATTTTAATTCGACTTTGATGAAACTTGAAATGCATGTTTGTAACCTAAAGATCTTGGTTCCTTTCGATATTGTCGCATATCGGATCGTAACTTCCTGAATTATGGCCCCTGATTATACGAAAAATCGTGTTTTTAGCTTGTGGACCCTATATAGGTCATAATTTTTATCTGATTTAAAAAACCATATTATTATATCATTGTTACACCCTAAGGAAGGTTGAGTTCGAATTTGGGGGAAATCGGACCAAAATTGCCGGACAAAATGGCCGCCGTTTGTACGCGAATAGTGTAAAAATAGGGCAAATCAAGGTTGTGGACCCTGTATGGTTCACCATTTTAATTCGATTTTGATGAAACTTGAAAAGCATGTTTATAACCTAAAGATCTTGGTTCCTTTCAATATTGTCGCATATCGGATCGTGTTTTTAGCTTGTGGACCCTATATAGGTCATAATTTTTATCCGATTTACAAAACCGTATTATTATATCACTGTTACGCCGTAATGAAGGTTGAGTTCGAATTTCGTGAAAATCGGACCAAAATTGCCGGACAAAATGACCGCCGCTTGTAAGCGAATAGTGTAAAAATATGGTATATGTCAAGGTTGTGGACCCTGTAGAGGTTGCAATTTTAATTCGATTTTGATGAAACTTGAAATGCTATTTATAACCTAAAAGATCTTGGTTCCTTTCGATATTGTCGCATATCGGATCGTAACTTCATGAATTATGGCCCCTGATTATACGAAAAATCGCCTCTTTTAGCTTGTGGTCCCTCTGAAGGTCACAATTATTATCTGATTTTAAAAATCGTTTGAATATATCACCGTAACACCATAATAAAGGTTGAGTTCAAATTTCCTGAAAATCAAACCAAAACTGCCGGACAAAGTGGCCGCCGCTTGTACGCGAAAGGTGTAAAAATATGGTATATCAAGGTTGTGGACCCTGTAGAGGTTACAATTTTAATCCGATTTTGATGAAACTTGAAATGCATGTTTATAACCCAAAGATCTTGGTTCCTGTCGATATTTGCGCATATCGAATTGTAACGTCATGGATTATGACCCTTGATTGTAGGAAAAATCACTTTCTTTTTAGCTTGTTCTCTATCCATCTCTCAAAAATGTGGGCGTATCCTGCCTGGCAGCCGCTGGTTACTCTTAATTTCATATCAATTATGTTCGGCGAAATACGCCAGAAGTCTCAATCGAATGGCAATCTCTAGCGTCTGGTTATTCCAGTTTACACCGGTAGTGTATTCTACATGGGATATGTTTAGCCCCGTTCATCGTGTCGCTTCATACGCTCAAAAGCATTCTGGCACACGATTCCTGTGCCAATTTTAAAATTTTCATATCGCCTTAAATATTAGATATCAGAAGCCCATCTTTTCCCGGTAAGATCACAACATCAGTGTTGATTTAAATTAACAAATAATTCGTATTTTCAATGTCGAAGACTGTGGATGATTTTGAGTTAAAGACTTGCCTCCTTTAAAAGTAATTTTAAAAATATGTGACGCTATCGTCTTTCTGAAACCTTTGTACCTTATCACCATCTAAACAAAAAGAAAACAAAATAATGTCTTTAATTATTTATAGCCCACGAACCCACCCAAACCCTTACCCAATTTAGCTTTGTAGGCCTAATTGTTCCTTGCGATGTTTTTCATCAATTATGTTCAATGCCTTCTCTAATTTTTTAGGGTCAACTTTAACATCACAATTCATTTTAGGTTCTTCAATTATGCGCCAATATTTTTGTCCCAACATGGCTGCTAAATTCCAAAATATCTGATGTGATAAATTACCACTCCGTTTACAAACTTCGCCCGTTTTTTCTGTGGGCATAATTTCTATGATAGTCGTGCCACTTGGAGCAAATATTTGGTTATAAAGTCCCCCTCCATGAACACCGATAATTATTTTCGTAGTCTTAAACAAAGCAACAGTTTCAAGCACGTTCAAGGTCTTTGATAAAACTTGAAAATTTTGTCCATATCGGTTGTACAGTGTACCGACTATTTCAGCTTTGTTGAGGATCCTTCGTCCATAATTCACCACGTTTTCTCTTGTGATGAGAACAACATGCGCCTGACTTAACGGCACCGTCAAATTATCCAAAGATCCAAAAGCTTTTCGTGCAGTTTTGTAAAGCGACGGATGCATGGTTGGCGTATTGCAGATGTCGACGACGGCCTTTGCCTGCCAAATCCCACTCTTATGGTATATAAGACGATTCCTTTCAATGCCAAGTCTGTCGTACAAAAATAAAATATTTTCATCTCGCGGGGCTTGGATAAGGAATTTCACATCAAAAGGAACAATGATATCGTAGGCTTGTATTATCTTTGGAAGAACGCCGTCGATGAAATGTTGAAAGGTGCTCGATTCAGGTATGAGCAGTGGACAAACAACCTGGTCTATTTTCTGGACGTTGACGTGGGAATCGGTCGTGTACTCCATATATCGCCGACGCACGCTTTTGGTACCACATTCCAATTTTTCTGAAATGATTCCATTCTTGTAAATATCCACATATCCACGGAACTCGTCTCCGGGTTGCCCTCCTTGTATTAGATTTTCGTTTTCAGTATGCTTGAGGAAAATTTTCCTGTCCGTGTCCGAAACAAAGGAAGGGCGTCGGAATGAAAAGGATTTGTAATTGTATTCGAAAGACTGATCGGTATTCATTTTCTTTAGGATCGTGTGGAAATATTCCCGCATATTCTTGGGAATTCTCTGGTCTTCAAAGTCTTTGATGCTAACAGAATGTTCTTTCAGAAACCGCCATCGTATTTTGGTAATTATGTCCACCCTTTTCTTAGTCCTGGATTTTGTGAAATTATATTTAACAACGTCTTCATCCAATTTAATGCGATTCCATATCTTTAGATCTTGTTCATATTGTTGTCTTTTTAATTCCCGCTCTAATTGCTTGCGCTGATTATGTTCAAGGTCCGCTTCCAAGAGTAGATGTTCACGTCTTTTCTTGAGTCGAATTTGCTGAGGATTTGGATGCAAGTTGGGATCGGGAAAGATGGCGAGAAAATCGTCGTCTTCGCGTTCCTGCAATTCGACTGGTAACACTGTTACTGGTCTGGGAATCGGGTCGTGTTTGGTACGGGACTTACGATGATGGGATGCTTTGCTCCTAGGAGTACCTGTATCCGATGGAAATGCGACATTTATTACGTAAAAACACGTAAAAGCCAGATAAAAAATCACCAAATAGTACCAGATTTGTTTTAATATCCAACAGTATCTGGCCATGGTGCGACCTCGGAGTCGGATCATATCTACAGGAAAGGATTAGAAATTACCGTGTACAAAGTTTTGGGGACAAAATCGCACACTTTTCTGGTAATTCACACTTGCCACTTAAATTAATATATCTGGAACTATCTCACATTGTTTTTTTAAAACTTGCTAAATTAAAATGTTGGTTATTCACACGTGCCACTTACATTAATATATCAGGAAATATCTCACATTGTTTTTTAATACTTGCTAAATTAAAATGTTGGTTATTCACACGTGCCACTTACATTAATATATCAGGAAATATCTCACATTGTTTTTTAAAACTTGCTAAATTAAAATGTTGGTTATTCACACGTGCCACTTACATTAATATATCAGGAAATATCTCACATTGTTTTTTAATACTTGCTAAATTAAAATGTTAGTAATTCACACTTAAATTAATATATCTGGAACAATTTTACATGGTGTGTTAAAACTAACCAAATTAAAATGTTGGTAATTCACACGTGCCACTTACATTAAAAGATCTGGAACCATTTCACATTGGTAATTCTGGTAATTCACACTTGCCACTTACATTTAAAAATCTTGAACTATTTAACATTGTGTGTTATAACTTGCCAAATTAAAATATTTTCGTGAAGGGCTTACATATTGCCACTCCTTAATCTGAATGGTATCCAATAGAGTTTGTTTTAGTTCCATATTTCATATAGCATTAATAATACAACATCCCGTCAACGTGTTCAGGTCTCAAATCAACGGAATAAAATATGAACTATTCAATATTAACGTTTATGTATTTTATGCCGTATTTAATATGGAAATCGACCGGGGATATTGTTAGAAATATGCGGACAACCTGTCAAAATTGAACAACTTCTTTTAGTCACAGGTGTGGAGACTATATTGATACTATTTATTGATATTTATATTAAACTTGTAAAATAATACATTGAAAGATGAAATATTACAGTAACAGTAACTTATAGTCGGTTAGTACTTGGTTGTATGGTAATCGGAATGACTATTATGGAGGAAGTGCTAGGGTGGCATTGTCCGAAGGGGAGAGGGGGGGGGGGTCGGCAGGTATATCTTGTTATTCATATATATATTTCCTTTCTTTGGTTTGTGGAAATTTATTCCAAAGCATCTTTTTATACGCCCACTAGTTCATAGGACAGATTAATTATATGGGATATAAAGGGGTGGTGCAAGATCATGTCATTATCATAATGCATTGTTGTCGAGCCCAATGAATATCAAAGTTCAAAATTCAAATGGGTAGTTATGCATGAATTTTTTTTTATTGTTCCTTTGAAGCTTATATATAAGAATGTACACACGTTTTAGATTTATCCCAATCTGTTAGTCGATCATATAGATATGACTAGTGTTTGAAAAAACGTGGAGGGAGGGAGGGAGGAGCAAAAAAGATCTTGCCCCAGCACATTTTTTTCCTCTCAAGAGCCCTGATTGTAGGTAATAGTTATATCACAAGTTCACAGCCTATCCTAGATAAACTAATCTTTAATTAGCGCTTTGTAACAGGGCACCGATTCTGTCCGGTCAGCAGGATAATAGGGTCATTCAGTCACCTGGGCAGGGGATGCAGCAGTGTAGTATATAAATTATGAACTTGAATCCAACATCATACCTATTAAAATAGTAGGCTACCAACATATTTGTTTCGTTTTCTTTCCTTCTTTACTCCATTTCATCTTGACAAAGATTTTTCTGTAAAGCATGAATGCTGTTTGTGAGTGGTTGACTGCAATCCAGGCCCAGAGAGAGACGGAAATGGGGTTTAACGTCCACTTGTCACAAACTAGGTCAGTATTGGGACTAACATATGGTTCACTTTTATTTCAATAATTCGCTTGCGCGTTGGGGTCTTTCGCAATGTGAGGAAACCAGAGGACCTAGAGAAAACCCATGAGGTTGGACAGGCGACCCTACTCCTTGTCACATACAACCGGGGAATCAAAACCCCGCTAGTTGACTCAATGACAGATCTTCTGATAAACCATTCGACAATCCAACTCCCCAATCCAGGCCCTGAATGCACTTTTCTTCATGGAATGACCAACTCTCTTTAGCAAGCAAAGATAACACTCTGTCCAAAGGTCACCAGAAATAAATATTCAAGTAATTAGTATTCCAGATAATTGCATCATGTTTTAATAAAATGAAATGGGGTTTAACGTCCTACTGTTCTGCTCTGACTGGGTTAATGAAGACGGGCATAAATCATACAGTGTGCTATGTGGGAAATTTTGCCGAGGCAGCGGCACTATGGCCTACTCTTTTAACGAATTCCAGTGGCCAAGGGATCTTTTACGTGCACGCCAATGTATACACTGGACCTCGATTTTTCGCCCCATCTGAATGACTAGACTGTTGTCCCTGTCAGGCCTTCCCGTGCTGGCACCACTGACAAGGGGAAACCACGTCGGAAAACATGTTTTGATCAGATCTACAAAAATTAATGACTTGACAAGAGATAAAAACATTTTATTCTTCGATCTCTTAACTCAATATATCATAAAAACAGTAGCAACCACTCTCTGGTATATATGTACATAATAAACATCCTTTTTAACAGAACGAACCTCCTTTTCTTTACGAAAATGTTTATTGGTCGATAGTGAAATGATAGATCAGAAACTTTAGATTCTAACAATGGCATGAAAAAATGTATTTTGAATTCAATATATCGTATAATATTTGCCATGACAACGGATATAGATTAATATCGGCCATGACGATCGCGTGATCTGTCTCTTGGTCGGTCATGTGATCGTTCACCGGAGCGTGATCGTCTTCGTTCCCTAGATCTTGATCTTCGTCTTCCACCCTCTCGTTCTCGACTTCTACCTCGTTTGGTTGGTGGTGATCGAGAACGGGAACGTGTTCCTCCTCGAGCAGATGTCAGAGCTCTGTAATAGAAAAGATGAAAGTTAGGAATATATTCTGATTTGATACATAGTACTATTATTATATGTGTGTATGAAATTATGTTACAATTGGCACATATCCTGATAATGGGGACAGTGTCTACAATCAATTTAAATTTTGCCCATTAGTAATCTTTGCCCATTAGTAATATTTGCCCATTAGTAATCTTTGTCCATTATTGTCAATTAGTAATCTTTGTCGCTTAGTAATCTTTGTCGCTTAGTAATCTTTGTCCATTATTGTCCATTAGTAATCTTTGTCCATTAGTAATCTTTGTCCATAAGTAATCTTACTAAGTCAGAATTAAGGAGAGAATGCATATGAATCAAAAGCCCCTAAACTAATTCAAATTTGAAGAATACATATGGTTTCACGACTAACATATTTATTTCAAGAGTGCTTGCATATAGGGGTCTTTAGCAGTGGGAGGAAACCAGAGGATTCAGAGAAAACCCATGAGGTTGGACAGGCGACCTTACTTCTTGTCATATACATAAGAATTAAATTTCAAATTTGTTCAAGGTATCCTAAAACTCACCCTCGCTTTCTTCGTCGACTGTATAATTCACGTCTAAGTTCTCTGGAGATGGGCTTCAGATGCATGAAATTACAGAAACCTCCTCTTGTACATTCACTGTAAAAATTAAATATTTTATATATCACATAGCTGTTTTATTTGGCCTACTCCTGCATACTGATATCATTCATAAAGAAAATTTATCCTAAAACAAGAAGCCAACATACGCTGTGTAATGTAAGTAAAACTTTGATGAATTTAAAATAAAGTATTTATAACCATTTTTAATACATAAAAAGTCATGACTTACCCCATTTCATACTGACGACAACAAGCTTCACGGAAATCTGTAACGGGAGAAAGTTCACAGTGTATAGGTCGGCCATTAAACCATCTATTGTTTAGATCAGCTACACCTTTCTCTGCATCTTCTTCATAACGGTACTGTAAATATAATTATAATTAATTAACAAAATACAAAAACAAAGCGATACTGTAAATATAATTATAATTAATTAACAAATGGAAAGCATAAGGAAAAACAATTTCTTGGAATATCAATGGGACTAGTCCGAAGATTCATACTTTGATCATAGTAGTTCGTCAAGGCAGATTAGTTACTCCCTGTAAGGTTTATACAACAACCTTTGCCTATCTCAATCAGCTGCTGTATGCTAAACAATAAGCTTATACATCAGAAAATAAAATACTATAATAATAGGTTGATGTTTGTACAAAGTTTTAAAAAGATTTCTTGAACCGATAATGAAATATGCTCCAGAATAAAATAATTTAATAATCTACATGTAACTACAGCTATTATTAAAACAAAGCCTGCTGTCTCTCGGAGGTTTCCATGTTCAGATTAGTTTGATAGAAGACCAAGTTTTTAGATCTGGTTTTTTTTTTGTTTTTTTTACTTCATGATCAATAATTAATGTTCATATAAAATTAGAAACATTTGAATTATTGTATGCTATCTTTTATTTCATGCAAACTTATAACTTAACTCAGAGATTCTCAACCAGTGTGCAGTGAGATCTTCCTAAGTGTGCTGCGGAGTTTTGAACGGCACACTAATTGAGTATTCACTGGTGTCTACTGATGTGTAGCTGTGTTTTTCTTAATTTAGTTTGAGTCATTACATGACTAGTCACTGTGCACGGTTGTATGCCGTCAGATTTACCATGTTTTTATTTTGCAAAATTCAAATATTTTTCATGTATATTTAGCCAGGTGTGCCGCTATTTTTTCACGTGTTTCAAGGTGTGCTGTTGGCAAAAAAAAGGTAGAGAACCACTGGGTTAACTTATAATCCAATAACATGAACAATGTTAATGTGCTTTACAAATTTTGCAAAAGCAAATTCATTTCTGCCTGACTCCATATATTATTGGTTTACATGTAGATGGTGAAATGCCTACCTTTACATAAACATTTCCTACTAAATGGTCCCCAAGGTTGTCACAAACATTCATTTCTTCAATCTCACCATACTGAAAATAAATAATATAGTTGTAGTAATCTAGTCTTACTATGACCTAAATTAACCACAGTATGTACCTACCACTCTTTCTTTGAATAACAATACATTTTATTAAATATACAGTATGTAAGAGCTAAATCTGCCTATTGCAGGTCTTTCTTTAGGCCTGAAATGTTATCTAAGTTATTAATTAGACATTCATTAACGTATCCAGACCATAATCAACTTTTGATGCCATCACTAGCCTGCGATATTTACTGGATTTAAATACATTTTGTGATGGATGATTTAACGTCAAAATGGATAATCAAGATTTTGTTTATCGTACCGACTTTAGTAATGATGATCAACGCTAGCCTAATATTCAAAAGCTAATATCTCAGTTCAGAGTGGAGGAATTTTACTGAAATTTTCAGCATATTCTATTTATGTTATCTATTTTTCAACTATTATAGCGAAAACTATCAACTCTTTATCTAATCTCCCATAAAATTAACATTACTTTGACCCAAACTGGATATTGCTATAATTAATTGGCATATCAATAAATTAAGTTTAACAGCCTAATAAAACTTGATTTTATCTCCAATATAATACAACCAACCCTTATAATGCCTGTCAAATTAAATCAGTTTCCATTTTGTTTTACGATAATGCAGAGGAATTTATGTTTTTGCACAATTTCAGTAGGTCTGTTATTCAAAGCTCCAGTGATACACACACATAAAAAAAATGTCACCAGCACCCCCCGCTGATTATAAAAAGTTTAAAAATAGATCGATCAGTCGATGGCTAAAAATTAAGATTTATCTATTTTACTGAGATGTTGATAACATGTACATATGTAATTGAATATCTGCTCGTAGCTACAATATTTCAACCACTGTTCAATTTAACTTTAAAGGACAATATTGGTGTCAGTCATTATCACATATGTGATAAAACTGGTTGAACACATTCAAAATATAATTTTAACGCAGACATAATTGCTACGATGGGTGCGTAATGAAAAGTTGAAGAAACGGAAGTGACAAAAGCAAAAGGAAAACATTAGTTATCCTTCTATATAACTGACTCAAGTGACGAGCGATACACGGGCATTTCTGCTCACTAATAATTTCTTCGAAGACCAAAAGTTGTTATATATGACTTTGATCTTAGCAATGATCTCTGTGTTAAAATTATATTTGAAATGTGTTCAACCAGTTCTATCCCATATTGTAGTAATGATCTCCGTGTTAAAATTATATTTGAAATGTGTTCAACCAGTTCTATCACGTATGTAATAATGGCTGACACCAATATTGTCCTTTAAATTATGTGATGGATATAGCAAAAATTGATGAATATTTCTGATACATAAAGGGCTTTTATTCACAGGTGTAAGAGTGAAACTAGACATGAATTCACTCTAAAAACATGTTTTGTTAGTTATTCATTCTAAATTTTATTAATAATATTATTAAATATATACATATTATTGATAAATGTATTTCTTAAAAATATATTCCTTTTTGATTATAAGGACCCATAAAATCATATTTTACCAGGAAATGAGAGAGAGAAATGGGGTTTAACTTCCACTTGACACAAACTAGGTCATTTTGTTCGGGACTAACATATGGTTCAATTTTATTTCAATAATTCACTTGCACGTATGGGTCTTTAGAGGACCTGGATAAAACCCACAAGGTTTGACAGGCGACCCTACTCTTTGTCATGTACAACCGGGAAATAGAAACAACGCCGGCTGACTCAATGAAAGACCTTATGATACAACGCACATGCACTAACCAACCCCCCCCCCCAGCTGGAAATGAAATCATATGAAGAGAGAGAAATGGGGTTTAACGTCCACTTGACACAAACTAGGTAATTTCGTTCGGGACTAACATATAGTTCAATTTTATTTCAATAATTGGCTTGCGCGTAGGGGTCTTTTAGCAGTGGGAGGAAACCGGAGGACTCAGAGTGAAACCATATGGATATTGGCCTAAATGATGTGGGTGTGGTGTATCCATTAAACCTGAGAAAAACCTTAGAAAAGGTTTACTCAACAACTGCTATATTGTGACCTGCCCCGGTTGTACGTGACAAGGAGTAGGGTCGCCTGTCCAACCTCGTGGGTTTTTTCCGGGTCCTCCGGTTTCCTCCCACTGCTAAAGACCCATACGCGCAAGCGAATTATTGAAATAAAATTAAACCATATGTTAGTTTCGAAATGACCTAGTTTTTGTCGAGTGGACATTAAACCCCATTTCTCTCTCTCTGTATATAGCAACTGCTATACCTGGAAGTCAAACACTTTAATTGATCTTACTTAACCCTTATTGTATTATTCAATAGATTTTAACATAAATGCAGTCCTCATTGTCAAAGGAATATATCTTTAACAAGTGCTTGCCATCCAAGATAGGCCCACATTTTTCAAGAGACGGACAGCAAACTATAAAGGTCCATAATCCAGGATGTTACAGGTCGACATGCGTCAATATTTAAAGTAACCAAGATCTTTGGGATATAAACATATATTTAAAGTTTCATTAAAATTGGATAAAAATTGTGACCTCTAGGAGAGTGTCCACAATATAAAAAGCATCATTGTTTCATAAAATCAGAGGCCATAATCCATGAATCGAAAGGAACCTATATTTCAAATTTTGTCAAAATCAGATAAAAATTGTGACCTGTAGAGTGTCCACAAACAAAATGTGAACGGACGAACAGACAGGGGCGACAACAATATACATCCACATGAAAATGTGGGCGTATAAAAATAGCAGCAGTAATTCCTGAAAAATTAGAAGAATGGTAACCTAGATGTCATCAAATATGGATGATGCATTTACAATATCGCCATTTAAATGTGTTGTTAATTTATGATCTTACCCCTTTCAATGCTCTTGATATTGGGGGAGAGAGAAATGGGGTTTAACGATCACTCGACACAAGCTAGGTCATTTTGGGACTAACATATGGTTCAATAATATTTAAATAATTTGTTTGCACATAGGGGTCTTTAGCAGTGCTCCCGTGATCTGGATAAACCTAGTACCGGTAAGTCAGTCGAACATGAATTTGAGAAAACGAAGGAAAACTGTTTTGGTTCAGGATTAAGCTGCTGTAAAGCAGATAAATTTGAGTTTGGCTTTCATATGTACATGATATGAAGTAATTTTAGTGCATTAGTTTTTATCAAATTTACTTGCGTAATCTGGTTACATAACGACTTACTAGGTTTTACCAGAGTTAACCTGATGTACAATCAAGAATTTTCATCAACAACAACCTACAATCTGTAGTTTGATATTCACTAAGTGTTTATTGCTAAAATCAAGAATAGAATTCAACAGAATCAGACAGGAACTACAATATTAATGAGCGAATCTGATTAGTTCATACCTAGCAACAGCCTAATAAAGCCTAGCAAGTTGACTTGCTAGGTTTTATTGGATAAATTTGCATGATTTGCTTGAAACTTGCTGACTTACTAGGTTCTGCCAGATGCGAAAACTGATAATATTGAAGAGTTTCACACACTTTAACTTAATACAAAGTTTGGGTAAAGCCTGGTAAGTCCAAATTTGTGACTAACTAAATTTTCACCAAATATCGACTTACTAGGTTTTTCCAGATCACGGGAGAGTGGGAGGAAACCAGAGGACCCAGAGAAAACTCATGAGGTTTGACAGATGACCCTACTTCTTGTCACGTACAACCGGTGAATCCTTGATATTGAGGCAATTAATTGTTCTATTGCGAGAAAGTATCATTGGACATAACATACACCAATTATTATTATGTAATTGAAATACAGTTTAGGCTCACATATCCTGTAAAAATTCCAGATTTTTTCCTATGAATTTGAATCAAGGCTACTTGAGTTTTGTACAATCCAATATTAGTAATATGTTAAAACTCTGAACCAATTCAGATATTAATTGAGAGAGGAACCAAAGCCATTGAAAAGAAACTAGGTTTAAAACCATAAATCTCCTTGAAGACTATTAGTATTCTACCTGCTCAACATCCCACAAAAATCAATTTTGAGTCAGCTTTTAAAATAAGACCTTTCAAAACATTTCCGAAGCCTCCATAAAATGGCATAACGTAAAAAAGTTGAAAAACCCAAATTAGATAAATCTGAATAAGCATTAACTAGGAAATATTACCAATTCTGGTTTTAATGCATCAAGTTACAGGCCTGGACACAAGTACAAATTAGATGAAATTTTGGTGATTTTAAATGATTTTTACGAATTTTTAAACAAAGATTTGATATCAAACGAATGTGAAAGAAATTAACGCTAGATACACAAGATTAAATGATACCCGGGTTACAGTGTAAATTGATAAACTTTCTTGAATACAAGCACATGTACATGTAGTTTCGACCTATCAACTCTTTATTTTGGTTTCATATGATACAAATCGTCAATTGAAATAGGTTGGGCTTGAAATTAAATTCAACACCCAATTAACGAACCCATGCATCAAATCTTAACTAATCAGTGTTAGAAATATCATAAGGAATCGACGTCAATCGATGTTGGAGGATTAGAGGTAATATTTATCATTAGTTTGGTGCAGTCGTGAAATGTATTGGGAATGGAGAAAAGATTAGTGGATGTAGCAAGGAAAAAGAAGTCGAAAGCACTTTATAAAAAAAAAAATCGAAAATATACTGATATCTATCCTTTTGTGATTTTCTTGCTCTGGTTCCTTTTGAGGCCATGAAGTACTGCTGAACAAATCTGAGCAAATATCTCACAATCAAACACAACCATGCTTATATTAATTCAATCAATACCACTCGAAATATTAATTCAACCATTACAATTCGAAGCATTAATAATGAAGGGGTGGGAGTGTTAAATACACTGGATTTGAGGCACCCAGTTCAAGCAGCCTACCTTCTCCATTTCAGTATAAACCTCTTCAAAGAATTCATCATAATGTTGCTGAATCTCAAACTCATCCATTTGGACTACAAGAAATGATGACATATAACACAGTCAAAAATAAGATACAGAAAAAAAAGAAAAGAGGATTTGGTGTGAGATGGGATTGAATCAGACATTATGACTAAAGAATCCTTGGACTAATACAGCAACATAACCTTAATACAAAAAGTATACACAAAAACTTGTGTTCTATTTCGATTTTTTACCCAAATAAGACAATCATTTTAAATAAAGAAATCCAATTATTTCTACTTTCAATTTGTACAATTATTCCACATGGAAAACAATAGACATAATGCTGATCCAAAGTATGAAAAATGATAAAACCGCTTTCCACCATGATACCTGAAAGTAAGTAAAGTTTTGTTGAGTGTCACCTAAGTTCCAGTAGAGTTATTTCCCTTACCTAACAAGACATTTTGTGTCAGGCTAAAGAACTTAGGTTTGTCAAAATACAATATGAAAGACAATCTATATTTTCCAATATTTATTATTTTCATTTGGAATAATTATCTTTCATTTTGTATTTTAACGTAAGTAAGATGAAATGGAGGTTTCAATGAAGGGCTTGGACATTACCTTGTCCTCTAACTCAGTAAATACCTCCTCAAAAAAATCATCAAAGTCCTGTTGTGCTTGCATCTCATCCACCATTACTGAAAGAAACACACCCTTTTAAATACCCTAAAAAAAGTCTTACCATTCACGATAGTAGCATTAAAGAAATTCATTTAACAGTTATTATCATTTCTTATATCAGAATCAAATTTAAACCAAAATATTTATAAAATAATTTATTTATCTTATTAATTAAATGGGTTTTTTTTCCATCAAAATTGTTACGGAAAATCACACAATTCTGATTATCTTTGACTTTAAACTCACCACGCTGTTTTATTTTCCATTCTTTAGATAAATGTAATTATAATTAAAAAATTAGAATTTAATATATTTTTGATATTAATTTATTGGGATATTATTTATCCCTTGTGTTCATGAACATTGAATCATTGATACAATTAAAGTTAGCATGCAAACTGAAAAAAGCCTCACAAAAAATGACAGGAAAACATCTAAAAAAAATAAATTAAAAATTGATAGATTAGAAAAAACAAAATGAAGTCAAAAGTAGGAAATAATAGCATTTACTTTTCTTTTAATTTTTTTATCAAATTAAAAAGAAAAAATATAAATTAATTTAGCAGAAAATGAAAGGGAGATGTGCAATAAAAGATGACAAATAAGATACATGTAATAATACATTTATAATTTTATTTGATTAAGCTAAACCTCTGTGAATAAAATGTTTAGGTTGATCTGATGTGTTCTTTCAATAGCTGATGGGTAAAGCTTTATTTGATTAGTCTTGTTCACCCAGAACTCCTAGTCGTCAACGTACGGAGGGTCTGGGACCGTTGTCAATATCTGACGAAAAGTTCCATTGCCCATGCGATACCGGGAGGTTGTTTTTTTTATGTGGTTGATTATCCGGTATCTTTGCCCAAGTCACATAAGAGTTTCGCCCCTTCCCAATAAATCTCATACTTTTTTGCATTAACATAAACAAATATGAATGGTGACAACGAATTAGGATTAATTAAAAAAACATAGATATGGCCCATGAAGTGAGAAATTTACAATAAAAAAAGTTTAAGAGTGTTTGGTATTGAACTGGCAATGGAATCAAATGGATTTTCTGAAATAGCATGCTTAAATTAATTTCATGGGCATCCCTTAGACTTTGTCTATGATTAAGTAAAAGACTGGATAATCTAGCCAATGACTTACATGTATTATTCTCAAATGTTGACAATGCATTTGTAGAATATTTTTCTGGATGATAGAGACTATTTATGATTAAATTTATAATAATCAGAAGTTGGTTTATTAGAGAGAGAGAGATAAATGGGGTTTAACGTCCACTCGACACAAACTAGGTCATTTCGGGACTAACATATGGTTTAATTTTATTTCAATAATTCGCTTGCACATAGCAGTGGGAGGAAACCAGAGGACCCGGAAAAAACCCACGAGTTTGAACAGGCGACCCTACTCCTTGTCACGTACAACCAGGGATTCAAAACCATGCCAGTTGACTCAATGACAGGCTTTATGATACAGTGCGCACGCGCTAACCATTCGGCCATCCACCCCCCCTGGTTTGTTAGATGTTGAATACAAAATCAGTTGCATCTCAATATTGGACGTGGAACTACATGTATAGACAGATACTGTTACCACATACCAACACAAATCACATCAAATCAACACTTTAATATTTTATCCTAATCTCAAGAGGTTGAACTATTTAAGGAGACTGTTTAATACACAGATTGGATTAGCTCAGTATGACATATTTTATATTTCTGCCAATGAATTCTTCCATATAGAAAGAGATGGAATATGTGACAGCTATGCGTATCCATGCTAATCAATTCCATAATAAACAGACCCTTAAGAGATCATTTCACACAAAAATATTAACCCATTGTAAAGTTTTCAGAAAATCTTTCCTTGGTATACATGTACCCTGTTATAATAACATCACGGCAGTACTGATGGCCACAACTGTATCATGTCATATATTGTATTAATACATTTTGATAAATCTTTTTTTGTTGAAATAATCTCTTTATTAATAACTAAACAACATAAATTGAAATAAACATAAAAGCAAAATATACAAGTCATAATAATTTATAAACTTAAAAGACCAAGTTCACTCATTATGGGTGGTAGGGAGTCATGGTGGCTAAATTGCTGACTCGCTAGTCTGGAGTTTGCGAGTTCGATCTCTGCATGGCCGAAAAAGTTCATCAGGATTTTCCGACGGGGTTTCTCCCCTTGTCAGTGGTGCAGGATGGAGGACCTGACAAGGACAGCTGTCTAGTCATCTGCATGCGACAAAAAAAAAAAACCGAGGTCCCATGTGGAGTGGATGCTCCACAAGGTCATTCCGAAACAAACATATGGTTCAATTTTATTTCAATAATTTGCTTGCGCGTAGGGGTCTTAAGCTGTGGCAGGAAACCAGAGGACCCGGAGAAAACCCACGAGGTTGGAACAAAAGAACAGACATATCTGCTTACATAGATGCATGACATCAGTTTATCCGTTTTCATATTTTGATTTCTGAATTAACTTGAGTGAATGTGATCCTTTAATGCTATCATGAAATGTCACAATACAGAAGTTTTTCCCATTTTCCACATCCAGTAGTTCAGCTTTCACATATAATTTTAATGTTCCAAGCTTTCCTCGGTTGATGTTTCGTAATGGGAAAAATTTCTATACAGGATGCCTATCTAATCAATCAACATCTAATTTCATCATACACAGTAAAAGCTGCAATTTGGTACCAGTATACATGGGACCTCGTTTTTTTCAACCCATCCTAACGACAAGTCAGCTGTCCTTGTCGGACTCTCTGTCCGGCTCAATCTATATAACGAAGATCGAGTACAGTATGTAACTGTCCAAATTTAATGCTGATCACCTTTCTTAAAGTTACAATTTCATATTTTTAAGTTGTATTTTTAAAATGTATTAAAATAAAGCCCTAAAATAGATGGTATCTATAAACAGTCCTACCATATTAAAGAATAATCCTATTAATCCTATAATTCACTATTGCCAGTTGAGAAATTGGCAAAAATATCATTTTCATCTTCAAATTCAAACGTTTGAAGATAGCTACTCCATGGTGGAGAATAGAAAACAAGGGAGGTAATTGTGTTATTATTTCCAGTGTAAATGAGTTTTAAGTGTGAGAATGACACCTATGATCGTATAATAGTGAGTTGACAACCTATAGAGCAAAAGACACAGAAATAATTATGTTTTGACTTTCTTAGAAAATATGAAATTGTAACTTTAAGTTTAAATTAGATTTTGTCTTTTAAGGTTATTGAAGATATACATGTAAACATTATTTTCAAATGCATCTTTTTAGTGTACAATGACATGTAAATATTTATGGTGCATGAAAACGTACACAAATATAAAAGGAAATGAACACTTACTGTGAGAACCATCGGCTGTTAAAGCTGTATTTTGGGGATTTAAATATAAATTTAATAACAAAACAGTCTGAAAAACATAAACAGAAGGTTTAAGATTTAAATATTGATTATTAAATTTTACTTACAAATTTCAAGTGACCGAGGCTTGGTCTGCAAACAGTCCATATTACTCTATTGCTAAAGTCAATGAAGCCCATGACAAGAGAGAGTGAGTGAGAGAGAGAGAGAGAGAGAGAGAGAGAGAGGTCATTTCGAGACTAACACATGGTTCAATTTTATTTCAATAATTTGTTTGTGCGTAGAGGTCTTAAGCAGTTGGAGGAAACCGGAGACTCAGAGAAAACCCACGTGGTTGGACAGGCGACCCTACTTCTTGTCACATACAACCGGGGAATCGAAACCATGCCAGCTGACTCAATGACAGCCCTCATGATACAGCCAACATGCCCTAACCAGTCGGCCATCCCCCCCCCCCCTTTAAGTGAAGAACAGAGTTTTTAACAGCTCATTAATAATACTTTGGCCATTTTGAGACTAATAAATACAGACATTGTTTGGTTTTCTTTGGTCATATGTGCAATGATAGGAATGAAAATTTTGCTTTCCATGTACTTTTGATCAAAATTCATTTGTTATGGGTTCCTTTACATGCACGCCTATAAGGGTGGACCTAATTTTCGTACCATACCAATAACTAGGATCTTCTTGCTCAATCCAAGGACATGAAATTGGCAAAGATTTCTTCTATGTATAAAAATACACCAACAAAATTAATTAATTGATTAGTAAAGAGAATTTTATATTTTTCTTGTTGTTGATCATTTAAACCAAACAAAACTGTAGGTATCTACTCGCACACCTAAGAGTAAGACCATATCTATACTATACCTGACTGAAAGTGGGTTTGTTGTGTAATCGTGAACATCTTTCTCCATGTCTGCATGCTCCAATTTTAAAATAAAAGGAACAGTTTACTCTAAAATAAAATAAAACATTAACATAATTTATTTGTATCACTTGCAAAACTTTCTTAATTATAAAAAAGGTTTTATATTTAAAAACAATCACATCAGCTTCGCTCTACTCGGGCAATGCCTGTTACATATTAGTGGATTTCAGATAAAACAATTAAAGTTTGATTAATGTAAAGTTAAAATGTAATAGTAATGGAAATGGCATGGCAATGAATGATGGCGAAAGATTAAGAAGCCAGAAGCCGAGAAGGCCGCCGGTTATCAATACAATACATACTAAAATATTATGGTAAAATACATGACAATTTATCCATATATGGAGTGCGACAAGAAATTGCTACAAAGAAAAAAAAGAAATCTAAACCAAGTTTTCATAATTTAATTTATTTAGATGCAAATATTTTAAACAAAGGAAACCATACTTGTCTTTTTCTGTTCCAAAAATCGATGCAAGATATTCAGCCATGTTTTCCTTTTTGGCTTCGGTTGCACCAAATTCAGTTAAATAAAAAACAAACGAACTCTAAACAAAACAAAATTTGAAATGATTTATTTTATCTTCTCATTATTAAATATTATTTAAATTCCCAGGCGTGTACAGCAAACAGTTTGTAAATATTTTTGATAAATAAAATCTATTCATCAAAATCTATTTTTGCGTTTCGTATTTTTATACCATATTTAATATTAATTCAACGGATGCATTACGTTCGTGACGTCACTTCTACACAAGAATTGATGACGTTTGCGCAGGTACCCGACAGGAAGTAAAAATTTGTCATCCTATTTTAGTGTTTTACTCTTAAAATGTAAATTATTTACTTAATATTTTTACATTTATGTAAGATTCTAAAAGGCGAACCATATGAGATGTTTGTAATATGTAACAGGCATTGCCTGAGTAGAGCGAAGCTGATTATTGTCAAATATAAAACCTTCATAATTAATTTTCTCAAGTCCAAGTGATACAAAAAATGTTAAATAATTTCGTTTTTCAAAATTGATTTTTATTTAGATCTAGATTTTATACATTAATTTTGTTTTTAAAAAAAGAACAAAAAAGTGTGAGAATTATTTTCATTGACGTAAAAAATATGTGACGTCATTGATTAGACGCGTCATAGAAATAGTTCTATGAGGCGAGATTTGGTGTGTAGAATTATTTTTGTTAGTTACGTGATCTCGCTTGGGCGAGATTTGGTAAGTTGACATGCGCATTGCCTGTTTTGCCCAGTGTATCCGGTTCCGGTCTGAATTTTCTTTTATGGTCAACAATTTTTCCACTGTGGGGTGGGGGGCGGCGGTGGCGGCGAAACTTTTTGCAGGGGGTGTCCCCTCCCCACCCCTCCTTCTCCTCCAAATTGATTTTGATTTAGATTTAAATTGTATGAGTATTGGATAAATTACAGATTAATTTTGTTTTAAAAAAAAGAACAAAATAAATAGTGTGACTAGTGTGAGAATTATTTTCATTGGCGATGTTATATATGGCCAAAAAAAAAATGTTATGTTTCCGGTAACTCGACCGACCCATTACAAAACCTGCCGACTCAATTTTTTTTTTAGTGTCAAGGGAAATAAAAAATGTTTTTTTTCAACGAGCGACCGTTCAAAATATTATTATTATTATTATTATACATACATTTCTATAGCGCTACTTCCACAACTGTGTTCAGAAGCGCTTTACAATATGATACACACAAAGATGAGATAAAATTCAAAAATTAGAAATAACAAAAAAAAATACTCTAAGCCTACCGGATTCGTGAAAATGGCTTTATTATTTGTTGCTATAAATGGATATAAATGTCATCGTTCTTTGAATCTGCATTTACCGATCGGAATAAGTGAGTACTGTACAGCGAACGATTATTAAGAACTGTCATACTGTTGACGCGAGATTGCTAACTGATGTGAAAATCAAGACTACAGGTTTCGTATAGATTTAACACAGCACATCCCGAAAAGCCATAATCCTCACAACCTTCGTTCTACTGAGTAACGGCACGCAATTCGACAAAAACAAGCTAACGTATATTTCAATCAGGTGAATAGGATCTGCTCAATTGGTATTTAAAAGAAGACAAATAAATTTATTACGGACCTATTTCGGGCAACGGCACGATATGACTTTTTAAGTTTTCATCACGAGTTCTTTCCCTTGAACAAAATGGCCTCCTACGCTATTATTTTATTTAGCATAGAATGATTAAAAAGTTCATTTGCCCCCTAAGAGAATATTTAAATCATAATCTAGCCTCTGATACATTTTAAACAATTACCCAAGAATTCCATCCACCAATCTATTCATGCTTCATGTTTCTCGGCACTGACTCAAACTAACATAAAATTGAAGATTTTCGCACAGAATATTATGCTACGGTACATCTACTAGATCTAACAATGTAACATTAAGAAAAAAAACGAGAAAAAAAAAACAACCCTACCTACCGACCCTACCCTATTTTACATCCGTTACAGGAAACAGAACCCTTTTTTTTTGGCCTACATGATATATATCATTATATGTGATGTCATTGATTAGACATGTAATCTAGCTTGGATGCGGTTTGATAGAGGGTAGATAACTCTGACTATGTTGACATGTCCATTGCCTGATTTGCTCAGTGTATCTTGTGCCGATCTGGATTTTTTTTTTAACCAACAGTCTATAGATTACAGTTTCAGTTATAACTCCTGTGTTACCAGAAAAGAGCTTTATTCAAACCCCCCCTTGCCCCTCTCCCCCTGTCCGAGGCTAAGGTTATCAGTCGATTGATACAGTGTTAATGTTCTTGACACCGAAGATGTATATGTTCAACGATTTCTAACAATTATTTTGAAGTTATTGTCTTTTCATTACTTTGAAAAATCTTGTGGGCAATCACCTGATTGGGGTAAAAGGTGTACCAAATTCAGGGTGGAAGACCAGTGTGCTGGTGGTGGGGAAAACAAATCAAATGTACCGGTACCCTTCCTTACCTTTGGTTACAGATATTTCAACATCAGGGTTTAATATGTTTTCACTGGAACGATTTTAGAATCTGTCCCTTAATTTTTTTATTATAACTCATCAGAACATAAACTTGTAATGAAGCACGAAAATGCTACATTAAAGTAATCTTTTTTCATTGTGCTATTATTTTGCAGTATTTGAGAAAAAACAAAATGGATTTACGACGTGTTCAGAATGAAGAAAAATTGAATCTGTGTAGAAAATATTATATAGGTATGGTATTTAGTCTTCCTTTCATTATATCATATCCAAAAAAAATAGAATATCAACAATGTCCAGTTAGCTTATTACATGTATATTTATAGGCTTAATTTCATTTTATTAAATGAGTTACGTGTATTCTGTGTTGACACCCGAAATTTACAATATTTAAATTTAAATGGGTCGATTTAAACAGTGAATCGGAATTAATCAAAACCTCATGAAACAGAATGGCTCGGATTTAAAGGAGCTAAATCGCTAACATTTGGGACCTAGAAATTGTCAAAAGTGGGTCGCAATGCATATAATACTGTAATATGAATGTATATACATGTAAACTGATTTACATTCAATGGTTTCCATTTTTACTCCAATTTCAAATCAGTTATGTTCGGCGAAATAAGCCAGCAGTCTCAAGCGAGTGCAAATTTCTAGCGTCTGGTTATTCCAGTCTACATACGCCGTTTGATTTGGTGCGATGTGTCTAGCCTCGTCCCTCGAGTCTCTTGATACAACTGGGGCTGAAGCGCATTATGGTACACGATTCGTGTACCAATGGTAAAATGTTTATTTTCTCTTAAATATTGGATATCAAAAGCCCATCTTTTTCCGGTAAGATCACAACATGAATGTTGATTTAATTTGACAAATAAATCGTGTTTTCAATGTTGAAGATTTTGGATCATATTGAGTTAGAGACTTAACTACTTTAAATGAACAAATTGTACTGTTTGATCTTACCCAAATGTTGAGTGCATATAATATAGTGATTTTTATCCATAGAACTGTGTTGTGTTATGTAATTTAGAATAAAATAAAACCACTCTTGGAAATAATTAGTTCCTTATTTTAATGGTAATCAGAGCAATATTGTTAAATGCCCACATTGAAATGTGGCCCTATATTGCCGTTGTGCCTATCCGTCAGTCTGGCATCCTCAATTGCTTGTGGATGTTCTAGAGGCTAAGGTTAATATCCGATTGACTTAGTGTACAAGGTCATGAGACGAAGAAGCCGGTTGATTTCCAACAATTTCCGATAATTACTTCACAAGTTATGGCCCTTGAACACTTTGAGAAATCTTGTGGATGCTCTAGAGACCAAATGTATCATCCGATTGACTTTAAATTTACACACCATGTTAAAGGTCATGCGATACAGATGCCTATATGTTTTCAAGGATTTCTGATAATTACTGCCAGAGTTATGGCCCTTGACTACTTCGAAAAATCTTGCAGATGCTCTACAGGCCTAAGTTATTATTCGATTGACTTTAAATTCATACACAGAGTTTAAGATCTTGAGACGAACAAGTATATTGATTTTCAATGATTTTTGATAATTTGAACAGCTAAATCTATATTAAATGTTTTATTTACTAAATGTTAGCATGGGGCAAACAAATGATTTCTGATAATTACTTAATGAGTTGTTACTCTTAATTAGATTTTAGTGTATTATAAATGTTTCATTACCGACAAAAGAAAAAAATATGTGACAACCCTTGTTGACTGCCGTGATGTCATGACTTACACTGTAGCTGCTGTGGGTGTATGTTTCGTTCATTGCCTGGCAACCTATCTTTTTGATCAAAAGATTAGATGTTATTTAATTTCACTTCGATACAATAGGCTTTTTAAAATGTATTATAAATATAAAATGGACACTTTTCTGACTGTCTTAATTTATAGCAAAAGAAGTGATTAAAATAAGGCCCTTGCCAGTAATAGGTTGGAAATTGTTTTATTTCTTTTCTGGTGTTTTTGTCACTTCATTATATTTCTTTGTTAAAGAGAAAACCCCCGAGGTTAGACTGGCGAGTTATTTGATGTATTCTGCCTTAACATACAGTATATTATTTGTCTGAACTCAGTGTTTTTGTGTCAAGCTTAATTAAATTCCTCTTACTTAAAGATACATTATGTAAGATTTAGATAACGAACTAGCCATTCTTGCTATAATAGTTCGAAAGTAGATGATGTAAAATGAATAATTTGAAAATTTCATTCAAATTACTCTATTGCAAACGAAGATATTAGCCTTTGAAGGCTTGACAGACGTGTACAATAATTTCAACCACAGTACTGGTTGATCGAAGCTTAGTCTCGGTCCTCCATATTTGATTAAATCAAAGTATCACTGAACCATTCTAATCTATTTAATATCGGAGAAATCTGATGCCATCGAGAGTTGATTAAGGCCTGGATCAGTTAATTAATGTCTAATTAATAATTTAGATAACATTTTAGGTCTAAAGAAAGATCTGCAATAGACAGATTTAGCTCTTACATAATGTATGTTTAAGGTTAATATTTTATTTCTACTATGGTGTACATTTTATTTTTATTTCAGGAGGATTTGCTTTGCTTCCATTTTTATGGTGTATTAATTCAGTATGGTTTTTTAATGAAGCTTTCAGAAAACCACAATTTGATGAACAAAAACAAATAAAAACATGTAAGTTAACTTAAAATGATTGGTTACTAGCAGGATACCCGGCTTCGCTCGGGGGTCATAACTCCGAAACCGGAAGTGGTAGACTAACGCCACCTGACCAATGTTACTCCCCGGTCCGAGCTACCCCTATACCCCAAATTTCAGACTCGGGGCAGACCTAGTGTAGCCGCCAACCCCGAACAGACAGACTTCGCTCGGGGTCATAACTCCGAAACCGGAAGTGGTAGACTAACGCCACCTGGCCTATTTTACTCCCCGGTCCGAGCTACCCCTATACCCAAAATTTCAGACTCGGGCCAGACCTAGTGTAGCCGCCAACCCCGAACAAACCGACTTCGCTCTGGGGTCATAACTCCGAAACCCGAAGTGGTAGACTAACGCCACCTGGTCTATGTTACTCCCCGGTCCGAGCTACCCCTATACCCCAAATTTCAGATTCGGGGCAGACCTAGTGTAGCCGCCAACCCCGAACAGACCGGCTTCGCTCGGGGGTCAGAACTCCGAAACTGGAAGTGGTAGACTAACGCCACCTGGCCTATGTTACTCCTCGGTCCGAGCTAACCCTATACCCCAAATTTCAGACTCGGGGCAGACCTAGTGTAGCCGCCAACCCCAAACAGACAGACAGACAGACAAACGACAGTCACAAATATATATATAGATTATTTTAAATTATATCTACCCTCATTAAACATACATTATGTAAAAGCTAAATCTGCCTATTGCAGGTCTTTCTTTAGGCCTGAAATGTTATCTAAATTATTAATTAGATATTAATTAAAGATACATTATGGGAGATTAGATAAAGAGCTGGCAGCTCTCATTTTAATAGTTAAAAACTAGATAATGTAAAGGGAACTTGCTGAAAATTTCAGTCAAATTGATCCACTGTGAACCGAGAATTTAGCGATTGAATTTTCGGCCTAGCCTCGATCATCATTACTTAAGTTGGTAGGATAACAAACATAGTCTTGATTATGGTTTGGATAAGTTAATTATTATCTAATTAATAGTTTATATAACATTTCAGGCCTAAAAAAAGATCTGAAATAGGCAAATTTAGCTCTTGCATAATGTATGTTTTCTGGTATCACGTCATTTGGGACTCATGTCATTTGGGACTCAACATAAACGACATTTGGGACTCAGTTGACGACGTTTGGGACTTGATTGGCGTCAATTGGGACCTAACACAAACGACATTTGGGACTCAATATAAACGACAGTTGGGACTATTTATTTATGAGATATATAGTAACAGCTGTCTTAGTTGTCTTTCGTTTTATTTAGTTGATCGGCAATTGTTGAGACCGCGATAAACATTGCTAGTTCTCCTTTGTTTTGTTTTATCTGCAAGTAAACGAACTTGATCGACCGACCACTGCTAATGTTTTTTCGTGAAAACGGTATAACTGCAATCAACACACGGCCGCCATTCTCGATGATTGACAACTCATGTTTTTCCTCATCCACCAAAGAACCGTTAGGTTTCTTTGAACATACTGCAATAACATCGGGATTATCAGTTAATCAGCTTTAATTATCCCGCTTTGATCGTTGCCATTTCTTATATTTTCCACAAAAAAGCTTTGCCTTGTACGCACTAATTTATATATTGGTATTGCCATCTACAACAAGCATGTCAACATGCAGCTCACTGATTATCGTTAACAATTTCCAGGGGCTTGAAAAAAAAGATTGCATGTAGTGTAAATATTTATTTTGTTTTTTGTGTAGGTCATTTTCAAATAAATTAATCTGCATATTATTCGTTTTAAATAAATATATAACTTTTATGAGAAACGATGATTATCAAAGAACCGTAAGTGCAACTAATGTTTTATCGTTTGGTTGAGCCTTTTACTAACCACGTGTTTCATGTTAATAAATATTTTCTTTCGTGTTTTGAATTGGCCTATTTCTAATAAATTATCCCGAGTCCCAAACGTCGTATACCAAAGTCCCAAACGACGTATACCAAAGTCCCAAACGACGTATACCAAAGTCCCAAACGTCGTATACCCGAGTCCCAAATGTCGTGGTCATATTTTTTTGAGTCCCAAATGACGCGAGTCCCAAATGACATGTAATCGTTTAACTTATCCTGACCACTAATCCTACACATGTACATTGCCTTTGATCATGTTGTTTTTATTCCTTTGATCTTGTTGTTGTCATGCATGGTTTCTGAATTGTTGTTATTGCTTGTCTATATATAATTGCTCTACACATTTGTTACTGTACTTGCTTGAAAACGTCGAGAGAATACTCTTCGAAACGTCGCCCAAATAAATCAGTAATTATTCTTCCATAAGTATGTGTTATAGTTTATTATCCTGACCATTTGAATAAATGCAAGAAATCATTTTGAATTGATAATCAAGACTGTAACAATGACAGTCGAGTCTATAGAGATTTTAAAATAAGGTTTTCTTGGCTTAGAGTGAAGCAATTTTCAGCATAATCCATTTACATAATCTTGTTTTTAACTATTATAGCGAGAACTGCCAACTCTTTATCTAAGCTTCCATATAAATGTATCTTTAATTAACATAGTATGGAAGGAGAGTTTAGACATCTTGTTATTTATTGTTATATTTCGACCAGAAGAATTCGACACCAATCACTATTTTTATAAGCCCACATTGAAATGTGGACGTAGCCGTCGTCCCCGTCACTCGGTCTGTACGTCGGTCGTCCACAATTTCTTGTGAACGCTCTAACGCCATAAGTTATCATCCAATTGTTTTAAAATTGATATATGTTTAAATTAGTGAGATGAAGAAGCCTATTTGATTTCAATCATTTCTGTTTATTATGTCGAGTTATGGCCCTTGTTTCACTTTGTTGAACCTTGTGAATGCTCTAATGCCAAAAATTAACATCTGATCCTTGTGAAATTTATATGCAATATTTAAGTTAGTGAAACAAAGAAGCCTATTGAATTTCAGCATTTTCGGTTTATTACGTCTCGAGTTATGGCCCTTGTTTCACTTTATTGAACCTTGTGAAAGCTCTAATGCCGAAAGTTATCATCCAATCTTTCTGAAATTTATACGCATTATATAAAGTAGTGAAGCGAAGAAGCCTATTGAATTTCAGCAATTTCCCTTTACTATATCTAGAGTTATTTCCCTTGTTTCACTTTATTGAATCTTGTGAACGCTGTAAACGCCAAATGTTATCACCCAATCTTTGTGAAATTTATATGCATGATTTAAATTAGTGAAATGAGGAAGCCTATTGAATTTCTGCAATTTCTGTTTATTACGGCTAGAGTCATTGCCCTTGTTTCACTTTATTGAACCCTGTGAAAGCTCTAACGCCAAAAGTTATCATCCGATCTTTCTGAAATTTATATACATTAATTTTAGATTAGTGAAACGAAGAAGCCTATTGAATTTCAGAAATTTATATGCATTATTTAAATTAGTGAAACCACAAAGCCTATCGAATTTCAGCAATTTACAATAATTACTCCTAGAGTTATGGCCCTTTCCGTCAATAATTTCTAGAGTTATGGCGATTTGTGAACCTTGTGAATGTTTGAATGACAAAAGTGATCATATGATCTGTATGAAATTAATATGCATTTTATGTGGTCGTATATTGTCGTCGCCCCCGTCCGTCCGTCCGTCCGACCGGCGTCTACAATTGCTTGTGGACGCTCTAGAGGCCAAAGTTAATATCCGATTGACTTTAAATTTATACACAGTGTTTAAGGTCATGAGACGAAGAATCCTATTGATTTTTAGCGATTTTCAATCATTTCTAATAATTTACTTCATGAGTTGTTGCTAAGAATATGCGACAACTCTTGTTGACTGCCCGGACGATTTAGCTGCTGTGGGCGTATGTTTCGTTGTCTGGCAACCTATCTTTCAAATTAGTAAAACGAAAAAGCCTGTCAAATTTCAACAATTTCTGTAGATTACTTCCAAAGTTGAGACCCTTGTTTCAGTTTGTAGAACCTTGTAAACCCTCCAACGACAAAATTTATAATCTGATCTGTATTGAACTGTCTTGTAAAGGTCCCCAATTACCTACAAAAGAATAAATATACGACAACCCTTGTCGACCGCCCGGACGATTTAGCTGCTGTGGGCGTATGTTTCGTTGCCTGGCAACCTATCTTTCTATTCTTTAACACATCTTTTAATTTCTCGGGGTGGGGGCGTCGCCTCTCCAACCTTGTGGGTTTTCTCCCGCTCCTACCGGCGTCCTCATACTGCTAAAGACCCCAACGCGCAAGCGAATTATTGTAATAAAATTGAACCATATGTTAGTCCCCAAAATGACCTGGTTTGTGTCGAGTGGATGTTAAACTCTCTCTCTCTCTCTTTCTACATGTATGTTATTTTATGATGATTAACACATTTGAAAATGTATATAACACCTGCAGATTATAATCTCAATTAATATTAACTTACATTTCTTTCAAGGGTAATTATGTCTTATGTCGTTTTATGATGATTAACACTTTTGAAAATGTATATAACAGCTGCAGACCAAAATGGGTACCAAGAAGTTCACCTAAGGATCAAACCTTCCATTATGCTTCCTTTATGGCCACAACTGGACATTATTCTAGACGATATCGAACTTGTTCCCGAAAGGACATAGTTTGTGTCGAGTAGACGTTAAATCTTCCTCCTCTCTCTCGTGTTTCGCTAGTAAAAACTCGGTTCCACGTGACCTTATCGATGGTAAGAGAACCGTATTTCGAATTATCAGGATTAAATTCCATATAAACAACAAAAACTAACGTCAATACACCAGTTCGTAATGAATGTACAGGAAAACAATGCTTTAAGCGAAACAATGATGTCACGTGGAACCGCCTCCTCTATGATGTCGCGTTAAATTATGCCCATTTATCTCTAGCAAGGATGCCCATTGTATGTTCTATTTCTCGTTAAATTCACCATGGAGCTGACGTGCCATAAAACTCCATTTTATTCATTCATGTTTTATTTATTTTATTTTATTTTTCAGATGTAATAAGATCAATGATAGGAACATTAATCTGGATGGCCATTATTATCACCTGGGTGGTCATATTCCAGTTAAATAGAAGTAAATGGGGGGCCACAGCTGATTATATGTCATTCATCATACCCAAGGGAGAACTTTAAAAACAGTTATGAACAACTTAAACAGCACTGATCTGTAAAGGCATTTGTTAACCTGGCTGAAAAACACTTGATGATTAAAAGCTTAAAGAGTTTTTTTTAGTCATATGTTTTAAATATGCTTAAACATACATTATTCAAGAGCTAAATCTGCCTATTGCAGGTCTTTCTTTACTCTAGAAATATTATCTAAATTATTAATTAGACATTAATTAATTTATCCAGACCATAATCTACTCTCAATGTCATCGTTGGATAATTTAACATAAAAATGGATAATCGAGACTTTGTTTATTATCGTAGCAATGTTAGTAATGACGATTGAGGCTAGGCCTAAAATTGAATTGCTAATATCTCGGTTCAGAGTGAAGCAATTTGACTGAAATTTCAGCATTTTCTGTTTTCATTATCTATTTTTTTAAATTAATATAGCGAGAACTGTCAGCTCTTTGTCTAACCTTACTTAATGCCCCCGATGCAATACATAATTTCAGATTTTCGGAAGACCCATGGTAATTTATGTGTTCTATATGTATTATGTCTGTAAATAACCTATTTGTATCTATTTATAATTTATATAAACATAAAGTTTCATTGCCACTTATTGTATATAATTTAAAAGTTACATTACTTAGATTAGAATTTTCTGTGGGGCTGTTATTTAGTCTCCAATTGACCGTATGTAAAGTGTTGATGACGCACTCATTCCATTTCCAAATGTATTCTACCATATACTTTTGTCAAATCAATAAATATTATTTTTTTTTACCAATTGGCATCTCTATCATTCTTACCATGGTTGTCATAGTTCATAGCTGACAAGGACAGCTGTCTAGTTGTTTGCATGGTACGAAAAACCAAGGTCCCATGTACACATTGGCATGCACATAAAAGATCCCTTGACAGTTGGAATTCGATATGAGAGTAGGCCATAGTGCCGCTGTCCCGGCAAAATTTCCCTCATAGCACCCTGTATGGCGTATGTCCGTCTTCATTAGCGCAGTTCGGAGCAGAACAGTAGGATGTTAAACTCCATTTTATTTCATAGTTCATAGCCTATTTTCTTAAATCGGTAGTATCAAGGAAATCTGTGCTGTTATGACTTACATTTGCCGTTAATTTGACAGATGGATGATGTTCGGAATGATGAAAAACGTCCAAAAGTTGTCTAGTGTAGACGTCCAGACTATGACAATGTCATCTAAAAACATTCATAGAAATCTGGTATTAATGGGCAGAATGGCAAACCTTCCTTTTCCCACTCCGCCATGAAGAGATTTGCATAACTCGAGGGCAAATCGTTTTCCCTTCGCAGTTTTGGAAGACTGGCAGTATACTTGGTTGTTGAAAGCGAAGTCATTCCTCCTAAGACAAATGTCGAGTAATTTGAGGATTTCTTCTTCCGGCCTGGATGCTTTCCTAACTGCATCAACTCCTATGGTATTATCAATGTTCGTGTACATGCTCTGTACGTCGATGGATTAAGATGGTGTGTTCAGGGACTCTTAACTGTTTGATATTGTGAATAAAATCGTTAGTGTCTTTAAAGTAGGATGGGTGTTGGGCTGTTGGCATACTAGGGGTAATAAGAAATGGTCTATATATTGTGATACGTTGTATGATTCGCGGCCACAGTCTGATATTATTAGGCGTCCCTAGGTTAATTTATTAGGTATAAACCATTCCGTTTCTGGGTTTTTATGTATTTTTGGTAGCGTATAGAAATCTCGTTGTCGACAATCAGATTTAGCGGATAGATAATCATATTGTTTTGCTGTCATGTATTCATTGTCTTGAAATTCATGTAAGATGTGTAAGGCGCTGGCTCGCTAGCCTGGAGGTCGGGTGTTCGATCCCTGCATTGGCCGAGAAAGTTCATCCCGATTTTCCGGCGTGGTTCCCCCTTGTCAGGGATGCAGGACGGAGGGCCTAACAAGGACAGCTGTCTAGTCATTCGGATGAGACGAAAAACCGAGGTCCCGTGTACACATTGGCGTGCACGTAAAAGATCCCTTGACAGTTGGAATTCGATATAAGAGTAGGCCGTAGTGCCGCTGTCCGGGCAAAATTTCCCTCATAGCACACTGTATGGCGTATGCCCGTCTTCATTAGCCCAGTTCGGAGCAAAACAGTAGGACGTTAAACCCCATTTCATTAGATTTCATTTTCATGTAAGATGTTGTTTATTAAGTTTGTGGTGTCCTTAAAGATGGGTTGGTCTAATTTAGTGTAATGTTTAGGATTATTTAATTGTTTCTCTGCCTGAGACGTAGTCTATGCGATTCAGTATGACATAATTATTATGTTTTTGTCTTTTGTGAGGGTGTTTAATGCTGGTTTTGTTGCTCGGTTGAGATTTGGTTTTTGTGATTGTGGTTGAAGGGATGATATTTCTGTGTTCATTTCGTCGAAACTTTTTAAGTGGTTTTCATATGGATTTTTCTGTGAATAATTTTTTACCTCTACCAAGTTTGTTCTAAAGAACGAAAGTCAACGAAAGTGTTCTTTAGAAGCGATCAGTTGCCTGGGCGATGAGGTCTATGAATGTTATTGTGGGGGTTCGGATGAATTTAAGGCCTTTGTTAAGAATGTTCATTTGTAGGGGGCTGAGAAGTCTGTCGCTCAAATTGAAAACCGACTGTCCTAAAGACGCCTACTCATTCCTTTTCCCTAATCCTAGTTTAAATTCCTCATTCATCAGTTGGTGATCTCTCTGTTCGTGCTGGGCTCTAGTGGATGGCGTTGTTCGTTTGGTGAAGGTGCAGTGGAGATCAATTGGTTGTAGCTGGTGATGTTTTGGTAGGCGATCAGATTTTCTTGTCGGAGTCAGGAAGAAGTGGGAATCTGTGTGGTGAAGAGCTTGGTTGTTGGTGAAGCTGCTCTGGTCACCTAGAGTAGATCTAGCATTTGCTCGTGTATCCTTAGTCCACATTCCTTCCCTTCCATCCCTAGCACTAGGCCTGTTTACACCTCGAGACTTTGACGAAATCTACAGGTTCTAACCCTTGATAAATGATAATACTCAGCGCTAGAGTCTATAAATACCCATCGCACGTGCAATTCTCTACACATCTATCAACTATACTAAGCAACAACCCCCCCCCCCCCAAAAAAAAAAAACCCCGTCAGTACGATTTCAAAATCAGAGAAGCACTTTAATCATATCATTCTAGAAAACGACTTACTAAATGGATCAAAGCAATTTCTTGTGAACAGTATGTTGACACATTAGTGATTAATTCATCACAATTCCAAGACATTACGAGAAGGTTTAGAGCCTGTACATCAGTCTATACATCAGTATCTGGTGTGTCCACCGCGAGTGTCAATAACTGCAGCTCAGCGTCTGTACTTGAGTGGAACAGATGATTGATGAACGCCATTGGCACCTGTAACCACACTCTCAGAAAAGCCTGGCGCAATCCATCGGATGTGTTTGATCTCGATACGACGTTATTAAGTCTCCTCTGAATTTCATCCCAAAGATATTCAACCGGGTTTAAGTCCGAACTAAGGGCTGGGCAGTGCATAACGTTGGCACCGTTCTGCTGTAGAAAGTCCCGATTAACACTGGCGGTGTGGGCACGGGCGTTGTCATGCTGTAAAACGTTGTTTCGTTGACTTTCGGAATGTGGTATGACGTGGGGTCCGAGAGCTTGATCGATGTAGCGCAGTGCTGTGATGCCGCCTCCTCTCCCTGGACCAAGATTTTGGAACACCACAGGACCCACTCTCTATTTCAGGCCGATTCCACCCCAAACCATTATGCTTGGACCTCCCCACGAGTCTCGTTCCATGACACATTGGTCAGAAAAACGCTGGCTACGTCGACGCCATATTCTGGTCCTACCATCTGCAATTGATACGCAATACCGACTCTCATCTGTGAACAGAACAGTTCTCCATTGCCTTTGTCGCCAGTTCTGGTGTTGTTGGACAAACTGTAGACGTTCACGTCGATGGCGAAGAGTGAGGATCGGTCCACGGTAAGGTCTACGGCAATGGATGTTCTCTCTGGGGAGACGTCGGCGCACTGTATCGGTACTGATGGGTCTTCCGTATGTTCCCACTGTCTGACGTGATGTCTCAGATGCCCGTGTGAAGGGATTCTGCACGTGCTGTCGCACAACATGTAGCCTTGTGGTAACCTTTGGTCTACCAGTTCGGGGGCGATCATCCGTGGTGTTGGTGACCCGAAAGAGTTGCTGAGGCCTGTAGATGGTCCGAACATTGACCTGGAAGTGATTGGCGACGGCTTGGGCAGTGTGGCCAGCGTCGAGTCTTCGAAGAGTCTGGTTCCTCTGAGCGGTCGTGAGTCGTGGCATGCTGATGACGTTGTAGTATGAATGATTCAACCAGGAATGGGTGAACAGCACGTGCAGCATGAGTTGCATAAAAATCATGGAGAACACATTACCATCTCAGAAGCAAGGTTGCGTTTTTGAGAACATTTCCGAATAGCAGTAATATTTAGCCTTTTGGTTATTACAACAGCTTTAAAACAATTACGTTCGTTTATTTTTTTAAATTGCTTTATCATTAACTGTACTGTTAGGAGCAACATCTTTTGGTTTAGTAGAAATAATATCTCTGAAAAACTCGGGTTAGACAAGAACATGACACTAGCAGTAGTTTCATTTTACTTTTACAAGGTTCTTAAAACAATTGAGTTGCCTAACGTTCATGTTTCTAAATTCAATTTCTTGTTCCAGCTTTCTGTTAAGTTTCGTAAAAAAGTAGTCTTGATTATCCCAGCCTGTCAATCAGACATAGAATGGTCGGTAGATTGGTTAGGGCACGTAACCTATTTTGTACTCAAAAGTGCCCGGATGTTATGGCCGACACTCGGAACCATTTTTCGGTATATTATTTATGGATGGTTAAATGGTCATAGCTTATTAAGTACAAAATGACCGTTTATTTAGTGACTATAAAAGAGCGAAACTGGTTTAAGGCTTAGTGTATATATAAATATTGTGGTGTAATTGTCGAGATTTTTGTAAATATTCATTTATGGTGGGGCAACTTACCTTTGTAACGCTTTGACATGATCATAAAATTGGAATCACCTGAATATATACTCTTCAAAAAAAAGTAGGGGATATTTAGAAATAATACATAACTGTGGAAATGCACTGCTGTGTTTATTAGAGGTAACTAGTATATGTTAATAACAGGTCAATTGCGTACACATGAACATTAACATAAACAGTTCATATGGGTGGCTTATCTGATGGCCCCATTTCACTCGCAAAGAGATACACCGTCAAAAGTGAAAATGGACGCTTTTGTTTTTTGTCTTAATATTGAGAAATTGCTCCACCAATCCTCAGATTCAGCAATTCATCGTGAAATGCTCCTAATCAACCGCCCAATCACAATTTGGGGCAATCTGACCCACTCCTCATGCAGTGCCACGGTAATTTCTTGCAGTGTTATCGGTTGAAGTTCACGAACACGTCTCCCGATCAAATTAAACGTAACACACTAAAGCAAAGATACGCTAAACAGTAAATCTTATGCAAGAACCGATAGGAAAGCAAACACGGATAGGATAAACCAGCAAGCGGCAGTTTTCATCAACCCTTCCTTGAAGTGTCAAAGTTGACAATGACCCCCCTACCACGTGTATGGCGCTATTGCGTGTCGTATGTGCAGCTCAGTGGTTCTGTTGTGAACATACTCTCAAAGCATGTCAAGTGTCCATGACTATTTATCATATCGCAACCTGCATAGGTATTTGGAGAGAGATAGAGAAATGGGGTTTA